TAAGAAGAAACAGTTTCAGTATTCTTTCTTGATCTCTGTTTCTAATAAGTGGTATCAGAGCTTGTATACTAATCTATTACAAGCTCAGTGAGAGTTAGAGAAAACACAATGAGTGAAAAGGAATCATCGTTGACCATTCCGAAGTTTGATGGAGATTATGAGCATTGGGCTATGCTCATGGAGAATCTGTTGAGGTCCAAGGAGTGGTGGGATCTCATTGAAACAGGAGTAACACATCCAGAGAGGAATGTGATACTAACGGGACAGCAGAGGACTGAACTTGCTGAGCAGAAGCTGAAGGATTTGAAAGCAAAGAATTATCTCTTTGCTTCTATTGACAAGACCATCTTGAAGACTATTGCAAAGAAAGAAAGTGCGAAGGATATCTGGGAGTCTATGAGGACAAAGTTTCAAGGGAACAAGCGTGTTCAAAGTGCTCAGTTGCAGAGACTCAGGAGAAATTTCGAGATACTCGAGATGAGGGAAGGTGATACGATCACTGAATACTTTGGGAGAGTCATGGTCGTGGCTAATGACATGAGGAATCTTGGAGAAGACATGCCGGATGATAAAGTAGTAGAGAAGATACTACGCACGTTGGTTGAAAAATTCACTTATGTGGTGTGTGCCATAGAAGAGTCGAAAGACATTAAAGAGCTTACGGTGGATGAGCTACAGAGTTCCCTGCTCGTCCATGAGCAAAATCTCAGTAAGCATGAAGGAGAAGAACAGGCTTTGAAGATGGAAGGTGAGAGAGATCGTAACGGGCAGTTCCAGGGCAGAGGAGGATACTATCAAAACCGTGGAAGAGGAGGATACAGAGGAGGTAGAGGAGGACGTAGCTATGGTGGTTTCAACAAAAGCAATGTGGAGTGTTTTAAATGTCACAAGCTGGGTCACTTTAAGAGTGAATGTCCAAGCTGGGAGAAAGGAGCCAATTACGCTGAGTTAGAAGAAGATGTGCTACTGATGGCACAGATAGCTGAAGAAACAGAACACATGTGGTACTTAGACTCAGGCTGCAGCAACCACATGTGTGGGACAAGGTCATGGTTTGCTGAGCTCGATGGAAACTTCCGTCAACAAGTGAAGTTAGGAGACAACAGGAGGATGCAAGTTGAAGGAAAGGGAAACTTGATGGAGATAAACGGGATTACACAAGTAATATCATCCGTTTACTATGTACCAGGCCTGCAAAACAACTTACTAAGCGTTGGTCAGTTGCAACAAAAGGGTCTGAAGATTGTCATAGAAGATGACGAGTGCAGAATCTGGCATAAAGAACAGAGACGTGTGATCATGCAATCAAAGATGTCTCGCAACAGGATGTTTGTAATCCCAGCAATCATCAGAACACCAAGAGATGGCCTGGAAGTGAATCAAGTCAGAGATGAAACCGATGAAGAAATCTGGCATAAGAGATTTGGGCACTTGAGTCTTAAAAGTTTGGCGATCCTTGGAGATAAAGATATGGTTATTGGCTTACCAAAGATCACAGCAACCGGAGAAGTATGTGAAGTCTGTATGAAAGGGAAACAGATCAGAGCCAATATACCAAAGCAGAGTACTTGGAGATCAAGCAAGGTGCTGGAGCTAGTTCACAGCGACATCTGCGGACCCATCTCTCCTGTGTCAGAGAGTGGTAAGAGATACATAATAAATTTTATTGATGACTACAGTAGAAAGTGCTGGACTTATTTCTTGACAGAAAAATCAGAAGCCATCAAGATCTTCAAGGAGTTCAAGATTGCAGCAGAGAAAGAAGTAGGAGAGAACTTGATGTGCTTGAGAACTGACCGAGGAGGTGAGTATAACTCAAAGGCGTTTCAAGACTTCTGTACTGAGAATGGAATCAAACGTCAACTCACAGCAGCTTACACACCGCAGCAAAATGGGATCGCAGAGAGAAAAAACCGAAGCATCATGAACATGGTGAGATGTATGATGTTTGGTATGAAGGTACCATTGAAGTTCTGGCCAGAAGCGACTCAGTATGCAGTGCACATTCTCAACCGCAGTCCTACACTGACACTTGGCGATGTAACACCGTCTGAAAGATGGAGCAAGCACAAACCGGTGGTGGAGCATCTGAGAGTATTTGGTTGTAAGGCGTATGCACTTATACCATATGAGAAAAGAACGAAGCTAGATGAGAAGAGTATCCCCTGTGTCATGTTCGGTGTAAGCAAGGAGTCTAAGGCATATAGACTTTATGATCCAGTACAGGAGAGGATTATAATAAGCAAGGACGTACGGTTTGATGAAGCTAAAAGGTGGGATTGGGAAGAGAAGATAGAAGACACAGTGGAGTTGGTAGATGCAGGAGATACAGAGAACGTAAGGGAGACTGCAGAAACACAAGTCTCACAAGATACAAACGTCAATGATGAGGAAGGAGAAGAGGAAGTAACAAACGATGAAGTAGCAATAGAGAATGCAGAAGAGCAGTCTGGTGCGAGTGGGAGTGAAAGCCGAAGAGGAAGAAATGTGCAGAAGCCATCATGGATGAAGGACTATGTGTGTGAGGGACTGAGCATGATAATAGAGCAAGAAGGAGATGAGATCATGGCTCTGGTGGTTGTGATTGAAGACCCTGAAACCTTTGAAGAAGCCGCAAAGTATAAGAAGTGGAGGAAGGCTATGGAGGCTGAGATGAAAGCGATCAATGACAACAACACCTGGGAGTTAGTAGATGTGCCAGAAGGTGTTAAAGTCATTGGAGTAAAATGGGTTTACAAAACAAAACTCAACGAGAAGGGTGAAGTAGACAAATTCAAAGCAAGATTAGTGGCGAAGGGGTTTCACCAAACCTATGGAGTCGATTTTTATGAGGTCTTTGCACCTGTTGCTAGGTGGGACACCATCAGACTCATTCTCGGTTTAGCTGCTCAAGAAGGATGGGTGGTACTGCAACTTGACGTCAAGAGTGCCTTCTTGCAAGGGGAGTTAAGTGAAGATGTGTTTGTAGAACAACCGAAGGGATTTGAAGTAGAAGGTGAAACTGAGAAAGTTTATAAGCTGCAGAAGGCTCTCTATGGTCTAAGACAAGCACCAAGGGCGTGGTATAGCAGAATAGAGAGCTATTTTGCAAGAGAAGGCTTCAAGAAGTGTTACTGTGAGCATACACTCTTCATCAAAGCAGAGAAGGAGGGAGTTCTAATACTTAGTTTGTATGTGGATGATCTTATCTATACAAGCAATTCCACAACAATGCTTGAAGACTTCAGAAGAGCGATGGAGAAGGAGTTTGCTATGACAGATCTCGGCAAAATGAAGTACTTTCTGGGAGTGGAAGTAACTCAGAACGAAAGGGGGATTTTTATATGTCAGAAGAAGTATGCCGAGGAGACCTTGAAGAAGTATGGAATGGAGGATTGTAACTCAGTCAAGAATCCCATGGTTCCAGGGAACAAGCTGAACAAAGAAGGTGATGGTACAAGCGTGGATGCTACTTCCTTCAAACAGTTGGTTGGGAGTTTGAGATACTTGACTGCAACCAGACCAGACCTAATCTACTCAGTCAACTTGGTAAGCCGGTTTATGGAGAGTCCAGGAGAACTACACTTGGCAGCAGCAAAACGTATCCTCAGGTATGTGAAGGGAACAAGTGACTTTGGGATCCAATATAGAAGAGGTGGTAGTGCTGGTTTGGTAGGATATGTTGATAGTGATTATGCAGGAGATGAGGATGATAGGAAGAGTACAACTGGTTATGTGTTTATGCTTGGAGGTGGAGCCATTTCTTGGGCTTCAAAGAAGCAACCAATTGTTACTCTATCAACGACTGAAGCTGAGTATGTAGCTGCAGCATATGGAGCTTGCCAAGCTGTATGGTTGAGGAATGTGCTCATTGATATCGGATTTGATGAGATGGAAGAGACGATGCTGCTATGTGACAATAGCTCTGCAATAAAACTATCAAGAAATCCAGTCCTACATGGGAGAAGCAAACACATCAGTGTGAGGTATCACTTCTTACGTGATTTGGTAGCAGAAGGTACAATCAGATTGGAGTACTGTTCGACACAAGAACAGATTGCAGACATAATGACTAAGGCGGTAAAGCTTGACGTGTTTGAGAAGTTACGAAGAATGTTAGGAGTTGGAAGTTTAAACTGAAACTAGGAGTTGTCAGTTTAAGGGAGGGATTGAAGAATAAAGAGTCAATATTGACCTAGTCTTTAGGAGTTTTTCACGTTTATTTTCATGAGTTTATTGAGTCAATAACAAGTTCCTAGTTTGTAGGAAACTACTTTATCTGTTGAGCTTATTTTGCTTATGGTTGTTATCTGTTTGCTATTTAAACCTCTGTAACGTTCTTTGACGTGAATAAGAAGAAACAGTTTCAGTATTCTTTCTTGATCTCTGTTTCTAATACTTCTGACTATCGGTTTGAAACTATAAAAAAATCTTTCTTCTTTTCTTTTAACGGTGGGAAGTTTCAAATACAATTCATTAACCTCTTTCGGTGAAAGACACGTGTAAGGCAATTAACCTCTTCTCTGAAGAAAAGAGACCATGACCAATTGACCAGTCTTTTTTGTCAACAAATTCCATATATCAAATCCAAGATCATCAATATTGTTATTTATTTCTGTACTTGAATATTTGACTTGATAAACACATGATTAGATGTCCCTTAAACAAACAAAAAACATTTGACTACATGTCCCTTAAGCCAAAAAAACAATCATACATGCACATAAGACCAGAGGTTCCATATCAATTCGTAAAATTGATCATTAAAAAGAAGGATTTGTTTCCGCATACTGAAAACTAAACAAATAATTGTAGCTTTAAACGTCATTAATGTACATTAAATTAAATAGTTAACAGATTAATCGTATCAATCCAAAAAAAAACGTTTTGGCATGATTATAACTTGTCACTTTTACAAACATATAAATATAGACACTCCTAGGAACATATTCTGAGTATACATCTTATAGTTAACATTTTAACAGAAGAAAATGATGAAGACGATGATGATGATGGTAATGATGGCTACGATTATGGGAGTTGCGATGGGTGATATTGTAGATAAGACATGCAAACAGACACCTGATTACACTCTTTGTGTAACTCTCCTTCGCTCCGATCCACGTAGTTCCTCCGCCGACACCGTTGGCCTTGGTCTCATCCTTGTCGACAAGATCAAGGTCCATCTCTCTCTCTCTCGTACATGGTCTTATTTTGATATCAGATACATAAAGGGGTTGATTGTGTAACAATTTAAAGTTCAAAGTACGTGATTGTTAAAAAAACAATAAAAGAAAGTAAACATTGTGGTTAATATTTAATTATGTAAAGATTTCATTTGTTTTACGTAGGAGCTAGGGTATGAGACTCTTGGGCAGATCGTTATGTTGTACAAAAACAAACTGATGCTGAGACGACCCTTGCATGAATGTAATCTGAGATACAAGACGATCGTAGACGTTGACGTCCACACAGCCATTATAGCTATCAAAGGAAACCCTAAGTTCGCTGAGGGTGCAATTGTTGACGCCGGCGTTGAAGCCTCCGTATGTGAAGGAGGGTTTCCCAAAGGCCAATCTCCGTTAACCAGTCTGACCCAGAACATGATCAAGATCTGCGATGTAACCAGAGCCATCGTCCGAATGCTGCTCTGAATTATAATATTTCTTGTAACTGTTACCTTATTGAAATTAAGTTGATATATAACCATCGACTCATACCTATTTAAACCGGATGAGTAGTGTTAATTTTAAGTTCTAATAAGCCGCGCCGGTAGTGTCTTTCGTAAATGATTGAACCGGTTATCAAACACTGGCAAAAATGAACACGAAGTTTCTGGAACGTTATCACGGGATATACCAATTCACGAGCCAGATAACGACTGACGAGAGAAAGCCCTATCAGAATAATAGGAGTACTAGGTGATTATTCCGTGCTCATGCACGGATACAAATATTTTAAAAGTAAATATATGATAATAACTGATTACTATTTAGTTTTAATTTTAAATTAATTTATAATTTGTATGCATCATTTATATTAATAATATTATATTACTTTAATTATACTATAATTAAATATATTTTATATTTAGTCGATTTTATTGTTTTTACGGTTAATTTAGTTATCATTTGGATAAATTGGATTGCCTGAATTCACCTATAATATTTTTAAAATATATTAATTTTTAATTAATTACTTATTTTCATATAGTGGGTGTTGTCTTAGATATAGATCATATATATAATATATATATATATTAGGAAAATTATATATAACTTAAGATATATTGTGCTTAGAATGAATTAAAAATTAACTAAAGTGTCTACTTCCAAAATACGTAAATTAATATAACGATAATATTCGAAATTCTCATGCATATATCTAAATTTACAAAAGAACTAAAATTGTAAGAGTTCGTTAATATTTATTTTCATTTGTTAATATTTTTGAGTTATCCTATAATCAATAGAAGGTTACACACATAAGTAGTTGATGCATTTTTAGAAGCTCATGAACACATATCAATATTTATAATAATTAAAATATTTATAAATTCTAAATAACTTTATGCTTTAGATTTATTGAATGTAAACTGAAATTTATTTTAAATAATCTTAAAATTGGGAATTCATATTTGCTTTGATATTTTGATTATGGTTATATTTAGTTTCACAAACATAAAAACATAAAAATTAAAACAAAATTTAATATTAAGAAAGCATATAATTTTAATAATGATAAAATATCACATATCTAGCTCATTAAACTAATTGTTAATTATTTGATCAAACGATGTTATTGTTAAATTTATTTTTAGGTTTTAATATCTCTTAAAAATAGCACTACACAAAATTTGATTGTATTTGAAAATAATATTATGTAAGTGAAATAGAATTTATAGATAATTTTCTGTAACTGAAAGATATTATAGTCAACTAAATGTATAAAAAAATAAATAAAAAAATTCAATAATACTAATTATAAACTATTTTAATTACTCTCAAAGTGTATTTTGATGTTATTTAAAAACTATTTTAAAATGTATTATTGATGTTTTGTGAACTTTCCTTTTTTATGAAATCATATTATATATACATATATTTTTCGTTTTAAATTTGTTTTATGACTTTATAACTAATTTCCTTTTTATTACATATATTTTTGGAAATTTTGAAAAGGAAAATAAATAAAATAATTAATAATACTACTTTTAACTATTTTAATTCATTAAGGGTATCAGTGTAATTAACCATCGTGAAATTGAACGTAAGAGCGACACATAAGAAATTGACTTTTCAAATAATGTTATAAATATATTTTTCTCTTCAAGTACCGCAAATATCTATCTTAAAATATAAACATTTAGATTGGACCTAAGATTTATTTTGTAAATTTTTAAATTAAATATTTCTTTCTACTTTATAGTTAAACATACATTAAATCACTAATATTTCTTTCTTTATACTATTATTTATGTTTTCAAATAATATATTTATTTATTTATACTACTATCTATGTTTCCAAAAAATATATTTATTTTTTATAATATTATTCATGTTTCCAAACAACACTATCATTAATCTTATGTTCAAACAATACAAAATATTAGATCTCACCCCTTTTAATATTTTCACAATTTTATTTCAATTATCTAGATAAATTAACAAAATTCAAATCATATATAAAACAATGAAAATAAACTTATTTTACAGGTTTAAATATTAAATATCAGTTAATCGATTAGTCTCGGGTTTTAGTGGTTTTTAAATATGGATATTTCTAAAAATCAAAATTGAACTATCGGATTACCGGTTTAACCGCGGTCCAGGTCAAATTTAAAAATACTAATTTAATTATTTTTTAAATACATAAATTCTTTAAGATTACCAAAATATTTGTTAAGTTATTTATAATTTTCATGTTCTTTAAACATAAAATCGAATTGGACAAACTCAAAACTATTTAAAATTAAATTATATAGAATTTATCTGAAAAAATAAAATCTGCGCATTTCGCACGGATCATGATCTAGTACCTATAAAAACAAAAGTATTTTGATATTATATGGTCGACGTCGGGTATAGTGTAAATTATGTATAAGTATAATGGTATTTTTGTCCCACATGGACCGACTTACATGGAGCTATTCACCAATACCACACATAGCATCTTTCCCTTGTATTTTTGTGCCAACAAGATAGTATATCCAAAAAGATAAAAGTGTTAGGGCATATGCAATGGTGTACTCCACTTTGGAGTCCTTAGGATTAGTTTAGTATATATATATTTTTTTAAAATAGTTAAGAATTGAAAGCAAATATATGTGTCCAATGGTGTTTTCGAACATCAAGTCCTTAGGCATTAAAATATTATTTTTTTAGAATTTGTTTTTTTCCATTAAAATTAAAAATTTATTAATTGTATGATTTTTTTTTAAAAAGATACAATAATTAAAAAGATACAATAATAAAAGAAAAATACAATAATTTTATAAAGATACAATGATTAAAAAAGGATACAATGATAAAAGAAAAATACAATAATTTTAAAAAAGATACTATAATTTTTAATATTCATCACCAAATTAGTTCCAAATAGTCTCGATTAAATCATTTTTCAATCGGTCATGAATACGCCTATCACGAAGATCATCCCGAACGCCAAACAAATTATGCAGATTTGTAGGCCTCTCGGTTTCCACCTGTGAACTTCTGGTGACGTCTCCTTCAAATTCCGATATATCGAACTGCATGTATCCATCTCGTTCATTTTCGACAATCATATTGTGTAATATGATACATGCTCTCATAATCTTCCCTATCTTTTCTTTGTCCAATGTACGAACCGAGTTTCTCACAATTGCAAATCGAGCTTGCAATACTCCAAAAGTCCGCTCCACATCTTTTCGGGTTGCTTCTTGAACTTTAGCAAATAACTCTTGTTTAGGACATTGAGGGAGTGTGGTCGAATGGATAAATGTTGACCATTTTGGATATATACCGTCTGTAAGGTAGTATGCCAGCTTATACATGTGTCCATTGACCACATACTTAACTCCGGGGGCTCGACCATCTAAAATATCATCAAACACAGGAGACCGATCGAGAACATTTATATCATTTAAGGTACCTGGAGGACCAAAGAAGGCGTACCAAAACCAAAGATCATGGGAAGCTACAGCTTCTAAGACAATTGTCGGTTTTCCCGATCCACGGGCGTATTGTCCTTTCCAAGCGGTCGGGCAATTTTTCCACTCCCAATGCATACAGTCAATGCTCCCCACCATCCCAGGAAACCCTCGTTTCTCTCCAATATCGAGCAGACGTTGAAGATCCTCCGGTGTGGGTCGGCGTAGATACTCAGCTCCGAATAACTGTATTATTCCGTCAGTGAATTTATGTAAACATGAGAGTGCAGTGCTCTCACCGAGTCGGAGATATTCGTCCACCGTGTCAGCCGCAGAACCGTAAGCAAGCATACGAATTGCTGCCGTACATTTTTGTAGTGGAGAGAGACCAAACCTCCCCGTTGGATCTCTTCTTTGCTTAAAGAATGGAATGTACTCTGATAGTCCATGGACAATACGCAAGAATAAGTCTTTATTCATGCGAAAACGGCGTCTGAAAAAATGTGCTGAGAATGTCGCATCATCGCTGAAGTAGTCATTCCATAATCGGATGTGTCCTGCTTCGCGGTTTCATTCTATGTAAGCTCGACTTGTGTTGTTACTGCTTTGGGCCTCAACTACGTCGTTGAAAGTATCCTCAAAAATTTCGTCAAAAACTTCGTCGAATCTTTCTTCAAACTCATTAGATGAAGATGGTGACATTTTTAAATTACCTGTTTCATAAAAATTGTCTTTAGAAGTTTTCAATGACAATAATCTAAAAATAGAATCAAATTCCATTTATATCTAATAACAAGTTTTTTTAAATTGTGTAATAATAACAAGAAGATAATACTACTAATATAATGAACCAAGATGATTCCATTAATTAATATCTAATAACAAGTTTTTTTAAATTGTGTAATAATAACAAGTTTTTTAAACTAGTAATATAATGAATCAAGATGATACTAGTAATATTTAATAACAGGCGGCAAGTTTTAAATTGTGTAATATTAACAAGAGTTTGCTAAGTACAAAGAGTTTGCTCAGTATAATGAATCAAGATAATTGATGTGTAATATTAACAAGTTTTAAATTGATGTGTATTATTAACAAGTTTTAAATTGTGTAATATTAACAAAGAGTTTGCTAAGTATAATGAATCAAGATGGTTGATGTGTCTATGTATATAGATTGAGTTGAAAATGCATTTGAACGTAAAGAGTTTGCTAAGTACAAAGAAGTAGCCTAAAGATAAGCAGACATGCATTTGAACATAAAGAGTTACCTAAAAGAACCAACTTGTTGGCTTAGACTTCGAGTTTGTAGCAACAAGATTACAACACAACAAAAGAAAAGGAAACAAGTTTGATACAAAGAAAACGAGTTTGATACAGAAGGAAAGATAGGTAATAGCCGGAAGCAAGTTCTGATACTTATAGAACAACACTACAAAAAGAAAAACCCGTGACTTGCTTAAAACACCATACAGTAGCACCCGTGACCTTGCTTAAAACACCAACAGAAGCACCCGTGACCTTGTCAAACCACCAACAGAAGCACCCGTGACCTTGTCTACTGCTGAACCTGGAACAAGACAGAAGACAAGTGTTAGTACAGAATAAAACACAGAATAAAATAAGCAATACTAGCACATGTAACAAATCAGATTTAAATGCAAATACTAACAAATCATCATATCATCTCGGACATGAGTTTGTTTTTAAGAGTTTCTTCCATCTCAGAGAGTGGATCTTTCTTGGCAAGTAAACGATCTAGAATTTTCCGTGTATAGAGTTTTTCTTTGTGCTCCATGATGGCCTGGAGCTGGGACATCTCTTCTTCTTTGGCACTCTTCTTCCTCTTACCAGCAGCTAAAGCTGCTTTCACACCAACTGGTCTAACTTCAGGTTCGAGCACTTCATCTTCTCTATCAACGTCCCCTTGTTTGCGCTTGTCTTTAACGACATAAAGGGAGCTCCATTTTTGGTCATGTCTCAGCTCTCTCCATGCATGCTCCATGCTGAACCTGGAGCGGTAAATTTTTGTTGAAAGAGTCGAGGGCCTCGTTCATCACATTATCATCATTCGTACCACTCTTCTGCGCCCTTAACGCCGCATCATAACAACCTACAAACTTAGACACTTGCTCATTAATCCTGGCCCATCTTTGCTTGCACGAGCCGACCTTTCTAGGTATTTTACCAGCCAGTTGAGGGCTTGCATTGTAGTAGTCAACAATCCTCTTCCAAAAACGATCAGCTTTCTGGTCATTGCTAATTACTGGATCTTTACTAGTGTTGATCCACGCACCAATGAGGATTTTATCCTCATTAGGAGCCCATTTCCTCCTCTCCTTAACACTAGACTCGACACCAGGCTGGAAGCAATACTCATCAGGACCTTGGCTACCGAACCAAGCAGGTTCGGCTGTCTCAAGGTCAACTGAAGACTGACTGTACAATAGATTAACAAACCCAGAATTTGTATTCATGTTTTGATGATGGTATGTGAAATTCTATTAGCAAGACAGACGTTTAAGTAAGCGATAGAAATAAAACATTTAAGTTCAGAGTAGTTAGGCAGATAAGAAGGTGAACTAGCATTTACCACGCATCAAATCAGAGAAATAAGTTCTCTACTTACTACACTTAAACCTAACAAGTACGATGTTCTCAGGTCTAAAAACACTACTAGCATTAAACACAAGTAAGTCCTTATTTATCAAAGCAAAAACAAGTACACTAACCACTACTAGCATTAAACACAAGTAAAGCATGACGAGAAATGTTTAATTTTTTGCAGATAAAATATCTAACCTATATTTATTTATTACTAAAATAAATTTGAGAAAATATCGTACCTGCCAAGAAGTTTTGAGTTCAGACGATGTGCTTTAAATCCTTCGAAGCTTTTCCTTGAAACACATAAAAAGTAAAACAGTTAGAAGTTATATATTGTTCAAAGAAATTAACTAAACATGGATTGAAACTTACCAGCCCATTACCATGACGGCTATTGCCATGACCAGTAGACATGATCCTATTGCCATGACCAGTTTTATGTTCTTCTTACTTAGCACAACCACGATCTTCTGTAACTTGGTCACTTTCTGGTCAGTCTCAAAGAATTGATTCTTCAGTAGCCTCAGTTGTGTCTGCATCTCACGCATCTCTTCCATAACTGCCACATCCTGCCATTTCCAGATGTGGCAGTCTCCATCAGAAACGTTGTCACACGTGAAGTACCGCCTGCCTGGATCTCTTCGAGTGTATGATGTTTGAAGGACAGGCTCAGAACCGCAATAGCATGTCAGAGGGATGCCTTCATCGCCCTCAGGTTGCGGTTGATACTGAACATCTCCAGTAGCGTACCCACTCTCAGCTTCTTTCCGGTAAAGATCAGCTTCTTCTTGAAGTAAGGAGGTCATGTCAAACTCATCTGATGACGAAGGCTGAGTGTAGCTATAGTCCTGTCCCATTGTTCGTTGACCTACAAACAAGACATAAATTATGTAAGCACACAACAAAAACAAAGACAAAAAAAACTCACAGTTCAATAACATTAAAAACACACAGCAACAACATTAAAAACACACAGTTCAATAACACAAACCAACAACATATACTAAAGAACACAGAGCAAGATACATAGACAAAAACTCACAGTTTACGAATGAGAAACAAAATAAACAACAACCCAATTCTCTGCTAGCTACAAATAAATAACTTCCAAATCCGTAATAAGAACAAACAAGAAGATCCCTAAATCAATTGAAACGGAAAACGTATTCAACCCCGAACTACAAACCAAAAGATCACGCATGCAATTGAAAACCCTAATCTTTTAGAAACCATGGATCAAAGAGATCCCTATATCAATTGAAACCCCAAGAGTATTGAAACCCTAACTACAAACAGAAGATCCCCAAACCAATTGAAAGTACGAATCTTTTAAAAACCCTAAATCGAAGAAATCCCCAAATCGATTCGAACCGAAAACACTTTCTAACCCTAAACTACAAACCATAAAATCCCTAGATCAATTGTAAACCTGAAACTTTTTGGAACCCCAAATCAAAGATAACCCCAAATGATCTTCGACGAACACGAAGTATAGAGAGAGACGAGAAAGACAAGAAACCTAAATCTAAACCTTCGATCTACCTCAGAATAATACGATTTATCGGAAATGATCTTCGACGAACACGAGCTCTGACGGATTGCCTTCTCCTCACGAGCTCTGATTTTTTTTCTTTTCTCTCGGTCGAAAATGATTTTTTTTTTCGACAAAACCAAAGACAAAAGAACGATAATGCTCTCCTCGTGTGACACGTGCACTAAGGACCGAGTCCTTCCAGTCCCTATTTACGGATTGATCCGTGATAAAGTTAACCAATATATCATTATTATATTATACTAATCACGTCATTAACACCTAAGGATTTCCTAAGGACCACCGTTGCATATGGTCTTACAAACGAAAAGTAAAGAGCAGAAAAAAAAGAAGTAAAGAGCAGACACAGAACCATGTTTACGTATTAGACAATTACGTACTCAACATGAAGTTTATACTCATGAGTACACGCTGAGCTTATATTATAGTATGATCACGAAGCTTCGTCTCGGGTGGATCATAAGAACTATGTATAACTAATAATCTTTGTATAAGAAAAAAATAATTAATCTATCTAAGTTTGACATCGATATATAAGAAAGCCATATGCCTACACGTAAAAACGTCTGTCCTAATGATTTTTTTTTCTGAACGCAATCTGTCCTAGTGATTAAAAGGAAATAAAACACATAATTGACAATTTGTGGAGTAGCTTTTAATATTTATTAAAAAAAAATTAAATAGAAACTATATAATTCTAGAAACAGAGCTAGCTAGTAGCACTCACAACAACACACGTCTTAATCTACTTGCACATCAACTTTCTTTCATCTCAGACGATGAAAAATTCATCCGCCGTCACATCACCACCATCTCTCTCCCTCTTCCTCCTCCTGCTCCTACCGTTTCCAGCTCAATCCTCCGATGATCTTATCGACACAATCTGCAAAGGGACACCATTCTTTGACCTCTGTGAAGCTTCTCTCCGCCCTCTCTCTCCCTCACCTTCTGATCCCAAGTCTATAGCTTCCGCAATAGCCAACGTTGTGCTCAGCAACATGACCGACACTTTAGGATACATCCAATCACTGATCAGACACTCTCAGGATCCAGCTGCGGAGCGAGCGCTGGCTCAGTGCGCCGAGGTGTACAGGCCGGTTGTTCGGTTCAACATTCCTCAGGCGATAGAGGCAATGCGGCGAGGAGAGTTCGGATTCGCGACGTATGTGCTCGGAGACGCTGAGAAACAAACTGATTCTTGTCAGAAATGGATTAATAGTGCCGGCGCCGATGATGAAAGTTCAGTGCCTCTTACGGCTAGAAACAAGCTGGTTAAGAATCTTTGTGACGTGGCGATATCTGTGATTAAGTCTCTAATGAATGGTCGTTGAGAATCTTTGTGTCTGCTGAGAATAATAATTATATATATACATATACTTGTAATCATTGACACGAAGTTAATTTTCTATTACAAGTTCGGAAGAATCCTGCTGGAAAATTGATAATCTAGTAATTTACCACTTGAGAAGGAAAGGGAAAAGTAAGAGAAGTACTCATCAACAAAATCATACATGCAGTACTTTTTTTTCACATGGAGTACTTGGATTGAAAGCAACAAATGTAATCCAATGTGTTAATCGATCGTTTAGTATGAATATAGTTTTAAGAATATGGTTTTCTTTCACATGCAGTACAAGTCTATACATAATTGTTTAAACAAGATAAGAATATTCTTCGATATTTTATCATCTCCCACAGTTGTAACATAGGGATCGGTCACGCCTAAACTGGATCGAAAGTCATTGAACAAGGTTGACAGAAGGCCTTTGGTATATATGTCCGCGTGTTGCAAACTTGACGGGATGTGTAGACTCTGACATGTCCCATTTGAACTTTCTCACCAACAAAATTTATATCTAGTTTGTTGTTGTCACAATAGACAATCGTTGTTTGTTTGAGTGGACAGTGCATTTCCAATAAGAAGTTTCGTACCTAACAAGCTTCAGATATTAATATCTATTTACCTCTTCAATGAAATGTATTTTGGTCTGATCTTTAATGGCTATACAACCTATACTTGTGAAAAAACCTTTTTAGAGTCATCCTAAAGAATTGCTTAATATTCTTTCCGATGGAAAATTTCGATTTGGCCAAATTTTGAATATTTCGTGTTAGATCTTAATATTGCTTTGAATGTAGAATAAGCTCAACCGCAAAATAGTTAATCTTAAGAGTATTTCCAATGTAAAACTCTATTTTTTTCTCCAAAATAAAATTAAAGTGATTATGGAGTAAAAATGTTCAAATCCCGTCTATTTTTAATTCTATAATGAAGTAGTAAACAAAGAAAAATAGATTACTCCATTTATGATGTAAATCTCATTATGGAATAAGAAATAGAGTAGGGTTAGAACATTTTTTACTCCATAATCACTTTTACTCTATTTTGAAGTAAAAAATGGAATTGAGCTGGAGATGCACTAATATCATTTTCATTTCTGTTTGTATGTTTATATTTCTTGCATTTTTGCTAATATTTGTTTAGTTGAGATGAGATATGGCAATTCAAAACTTAGAACGGATTCGTCCAGAAAGAACTCAGAGCAGAAGAAGACGTATTGGGCCTTAATTAATGGCCCCTCGAAGCATCCGGCGACAGCAACTAAACAGATATTATGGACATTTGAAATACACACACGTGGAATTCCATGTGCACTTAATTTTGAAGAGTTGGTGTTTAAGCTCAGTGGGTACAGCCACATGGATTCTGTTTCCAAATATACAATGCTATATAAATAAATTGATTTTAAATTTCAACTCAAGCATCACTAGCATGTGATTTCAAATACTTAAAAAGTATACCAATAATGATGATTTCGTATATTATTTTACGTTTTGGTATCGTCAAAATCTGGAGGCTTCATTGCATTCTTCAAAAGCACAACAATCATCTACTAATATAATCCAAATTGTATTATACTAGTACACACAACACTGATATTTTATTTTGTAATCTTTCTCATTTTATTTCTAGAAAAAAACATTACAAAACTAATCTTACCCACATCAGATAGTTTATTGTTTCATAACCGCCGAGAAAGCAGCCGATTTTGCCCCAAAATTTTATCGGTCAGAGTACATGGTCCACCGACAAATGGTTTGATGAACCAGTGATGAAATTGTCCAATTCCAGCTCTTTGGTTTACACTTCATTGTAAAACTCTATTCATCTTCTTTTCGAACCGGAAACCGGTTTTGGTAAACTGCGAGTACATAAATAAAATGATTAGAAGTTATTCAGACAGTAAAAAGATAACTGCTCTTCTTAATTAGAGACAGCTTACTTCGGTAATCTCTGTGCTAAACCCGGACCGGTATAACCACCATCCGGTTCACTCGCAGACGGATTCCCCACATACTGAACCGAAACTAAACCACCATCTACTAAGGGAGATCTCCCGGAGCTAGCGGCTGCTCTCGGAGACAATCCTGAATATTTCAAAAAAAAACAATTAAGATTAATCAAACTTAACAAAAGCAAAACGCAAACGCAATCGCAATAATCAAATCACACCTTGCAAAACGAGTACAAAGAAGAATATAACGGTGAGAAGCGTTGCCAATACATTGCCTAGAGAAGAAGCCGCAGACGCTTCTTTAACCGCTCTCGATTTCTTCAAAGCTCTCAAACGTTCAACCCTCGCGCGTTTCAGAATCGCCAGTTCAGCGATCTCTCTTATCAGCTTCCTATCAGCTGCGTCTAGAGACGGTCCACGCGGCGGCCGAGGAGGCTTCGACGCTGATTTCTTGCGATTCTCCTTCCGATCGTTCCTTCCCCATCCCGGTTTCGCAAACTGAACCGGAATCACATCGTTTTCTAACGAACCGACGGTTTCTTCTCCGGTTATAACCGTTTTATTATCTGGAAACAACGGTATCAATGGCTTCTCTGGAGATTGTGTATAAACATCGACGCAATCGACGGTTCCTTTCTCAAGATCAACATCAAAATCGAGACTCATTCCCATTTTATCCACTCAACTGAAAAAAAGAACAGAGGTTCACACTTTGGACAAGAAGCGAAGTTCTGTAAGATCAAGATCTATGGAGAGGAAGGACACAGACACATACGCAAACTATCTGTCTCTGTGTGTGAGTTTCTTTTTCTTTTTATTGACGCTTGTGACGCGTTTAGTAAGCCAAAAGAAGTAAATAATTGAATTACAGCTAACGTGTCTGTCTCTTCAGAAAAAAAAATTCTGCAAAAATAAAATCACAAACTTTAATTTTCGGTCAATCAATAAATACTTTAGTGTGGAATATAAATAATTACCTAATCGAAAATCACGTGGTATATATATATATATAGATAAGAATAAAAATAGAGATTGGATTGAATCATTGAAGTTTAGTTGATGTTTGTATTCAATATACTGTCAAAAGTAGGTAACTAATTTCGGATATGAAGCAAAGAACAGCTGTGTTATTGCTTTTTTCGGTGCCGTGACTTAGGGGGGAAAAACATATAAATTAATAAAAATGAATTAATTAATTTTCATCGAGTCAAATACGAAAAATATTGAACGAAAATGTTGTGAATGAAATTAGAAAAGTATTTGAAACTTGTTATTGTACCTTGAAACGAAAGAGAAGGAGACACAGATCCGATACTGAAGAGATGAGTAGAGAGACCGAGGAGAAAATGGCGGATTAATTGTCCGAGTTTCAGACCGATTCCAAAAGAAAAAACTTAATCAGGGACAAAGAAAAAGAAAGACTTTCTTTTTTATACACACATTCGTCGAAATATAGATGGTTTTTATTCTGAGATATTTGACAACGAAATCAATTGGATAATTTGATGAAAAAGGACAGCAGAGTTGAATTCGAAACAGATATAGAAGTGTGTTGTGTTTCGGACATGTGTTGCTGTCCTAAATATAAACTGAGATTACGCATGTGAGCTTTTCTCCAGCAGGGAAGCTTCACGTCACCGACGCAGAGAGAAACGAGCCAAATATTCTTTTATTCCAAATTAGATCCTCTTTTTCAGTTTCTCATGCTTTTGCACCCGTAAAATAATGATGTGAGGCTTTTACTACTACCATTGCCGACGATTAGATTTAAGTTAAATTTTAACAACAATTAATAATTATATTAATTCAAGACTATAATATTTACATATTAAGTCTTTAAAATTTGGAAACTTAAACAAGAGTTTTATAATTCTTTATCTAGAACTGATCTTGCTTATTACAGATATTTTTATTCTTGTATAGTTTTGTTCTTTCATAAATTAAAATTAAAATTTGTATGAAATGACAAGAAAAATCAAGACCAGGACAGAATCAGGTAGACAGAGACAAATATGGCGACATGTATTGTCATATACATTGAAGAGATTAGGACCCAATTTGATCACTATAAATCCATCGGGCCCAGTTTACAAATATCTAAAAGTAACGACCTCAACGAGAAACGCTCTCGCAACTCTATGAAATATAGTGATTAGGCCCTTAACTAATAAACGCATTTAGATTTAACCTATAAGTATCTGATTATGATGATTCTAACCTGCCGCTTAAAGAGAAAAGCTCGTCAACGTCTTTTTTTTTTTTGTCGCAACGCGTCAAATTCATCAACAACCTCGTTTTGTTACACCTTTTTAAAATTCTTTTTCATTTAAAATTCAGTCTAATCATACCCCTCCACATATATTTTCTTGGTCAACATTTTCGCATTATATTATATGTTGTACAAGGGTCTTAATGTCAGCTTCTGAAAATTTACGAGATGTTTTTAATTTCTTACTGTTCCATTCCAAATATGAAATAGTAATGTTACAAAGTCACAGTTAAGGAGATTAAGTACGAATAAATTGATACATGTAGGAAAACTTCAGTTTCGGCTTTCATCCTAACGAAATCAATAATTTAGGGAAATCAAAAGGCATGGAGGTGTCTGATTCACACCCCACATAGAGACTACATTAAATATAAACGGTCTGTTTTCGTAATAATACCGTGGCCCCATGGCCATGATCCATGAAACTGACTTGTTACACACACACACACACCTTACATACCACGTTTATCAATTCTGTAGATAGGAATATATGTATATTTAAATATTTTGTCTTCTTTTTTCTATTCAATGGATCACTGTGGCTACACAATATCATGAACCCTTTTTACAAATTATGCGTAGATTGACCGTAACAATTTTTGACTTGGTCCATATAAATCTTTACAAATTTCTATAACGAGGAGTTATAAATCAGTTATGATAATATTATGGGGGAAAACTATGGAAAGAAAAACGTGGGGAGTTTTAGTGGTGACGAAGACCAGACCAGTCAACTTCTGTCTCCATGCCGCACCGGCAAATCCATACAAGTTTGGGGCCTGTAAGTGTCTCAAGTTATACGTATTGGGCCCAAGAAGCCTGTTTTATACGTTATCTGCTGCGATTCAAGTCCAGTTTCTTCCTTTTGTTTTTCTTGTTCTTCCTTTTGTTTGGATTATGTGTAGTGAATGTTTTATTATCTGAAGGAATCAGACTAACTTTCTTTATGTCGCTCAAAATGTATGGATGTCTCCCAAGTATTTTATAAGATGAATAGTAGAAAATGATGTATATACATAGTCATAAGAATCGTAGATAATGCATGCAAATATGCATGTTATTGCCAATGGAAACCAATATCATCATCTCTCTCTTTTATAACGAAAGGAGATTCTAGACAATATATAAGAATGTTTGTGTGACGAGACAAAATCCATCACCTGATCACCTCATTATTTTACGTTCATAATCACGTAAAAGTAACCTCATATCTCAATATAAATAATTTAGGGCGAGTCACCGTAGGTATCACCTCCGCTGTATCAGCTTCCATATCCTTCACCGTAGCCACTCCCTGAACCTAATCCTTCTCCTCCGCCACCACCACCTTCTCCGCCACGGTTCCTCCCCCTGAGCCTGAACCATCCGGAACCTGAACCGGAGCCTCTACCAAGGGCTTTTGGTGATCTAGCTGCTAAACAGATGTCAAATACTACTAAAGCCAAGAAAACAGCTCCTAACAACTTGAGGCTTCCCATTTTCACTTCCTTTACGAACCAAACAATCAGTCACTGACAAAGAGATACTTCTTTGTGGTCATTCACTGATAAAAATATGTACTTCTTTGTGAAAGATTAAGAAGAAATGAAGCTAGCTAGAGAAGCCGTTTGTGAAGTTGGATCAGTTAATGGTATATGGAGAGAATGTTGGTCTTTGTATGTATTTATAAAGAACCAAGGATAATGGAACGTAAGAGTCCCGTAAGTTATAGTAACTTGCCTTTACCAATATGTGTGAACAATGGTGAACAAAAGTGGGTCGGCAACTTCTTAGTGCTCTTCTTGGTGATGATACTGGCACCGCCACTTCTCCAGTATCATCCCAATTTTATATTTGAATTATGTACATATGTTGTATTGGTGCATGTGTCTTCTTCCTCGTGGTTCATCTCTCTAGATAGTGTACATTCTTAGTAGAAAGTTATATGCTTAACAACACGTGTAGACATTTCCGAGTAGCAAGATACATCAAGTCATCTACCAACATTTCCATAAATAGAGATGCCAAATATTAACTCATATTAACTCATATTTTTCAATTTTCAACATTTCTCAATTTTCAAAAAAAAAAATATTAACTCATATTTTTGTAAAAGTTCACATTAACAACAAAATATACGTTTAGTGCTTGACTGCTTGTGTGTGTGTACGTGGCCTCTAGCTTTTTCATCTAAGGTAGAAAGCCAGAGAGACGTTTTGCATTTGTAGTTGGGCTCGAACACGTTGTTAATATCCAAAATGTTTATAAACAGAAACGCTTGAAGGAGGGCCGGACTTGATTCTATAATTGGCTATATTGGTTATTAGAGCAACATTATTAGGAGGTCTTTGCTCTTGGTCTTTATAAAACATACTAGATTTTGACCCGCGCTTGAAAGCTCGGAATTTTTTTATGATTAAAAATTTATATAATTAGATTTTGTCTTAATTTAAAGAATGTTTTGGTATAAAATCAATTCACCAAAATTTGTGGTGATGGTTGTTTTTCATTAGTTTTTAGTTTCAGTTTTTATTTTTAGATTTTGTTTTAGATTTTGGTTTTTAGTTTTTAGTTTTTAAGTTTCTATTATTGATTTTCAGCTTTTGGTTTGTGTTTTTAATTTTTAGACCCGTTGAGTTAGTTTGAACTGATATTACCAATAAACAAATCATAAATAATCGAACATCTAATTTAAAACTGAAAAGACGACAAAAAAATTTGGAATAGTTTATTTTGTAGATAAAAAAAAAGAAAAAAAAATATAACTTGTGTTTTCATCTTTTGATTTTTAGATTTGGTTTTTGGTTTTGCTTTACATTTTTTTAAAATCAGTAAATTATTTAAGAAAAATAAAACAATAAATTATTTAAAAGTTACCATTGGAATTTATCAAAATAAAGTGATTGTTATTTAAAATAAAAAATACATTAACATGTTTTAAAGTACATGATTTAAATAAATGATTAATAATAGACAATTTTTTTTTGTTAAAAATATTAAATACCTTTTGTGCCTAAAAATAATAATGAATTTTTTGATCTATTAAGGTGAAAAGTTTATTCAATGTTTTTGGAGTTTTTCCTTAATAATAAGCCCAAAAATCAAACTATATAATTTGTTCTAAAAACAAAGTAAGCCCAAGACTATATCCCATAAATAATCATCGGTTTAATTTAAGTAATGCGGTTTAATTAATTATATGGCTTATGTTACATATTTGTAACACTCTAGAAAGAGTCCAAATTTAAATGACAACTTGTATCAGTAGATAAAAAGAATGACTCTATTTTAATAGTGTAGATATATATATATATGTATATATTATATATACGTATATAATTAAAGGTCAAGAATTTTACGGAAAACGAAACCGAAAGTCTCTTATTTAAGAAACTTTGGATTGTGTTTTCTATAAAATCCTTAACCCATTATATATGCATATATAATATATACATACACATATGTTTTCTAAAGACCCAAGAGCAAAAACCTCCCAATAATCTTGCTCTTTAACTCTTTGTATAAAACCCAAGAAATTCAGGCCTAATTAAAATATTTGGTTTCCAGTCAATTTTCCATAGGCCTTTTATTGTGTTGCATAATGCATGATATCCTTGTTGTACTTGTGACAAAGAAGCGTGCACTGCTTTATATTATGTTCATAATTCATATACACAGTAATATGATTTTCTCACACGATTTTACAACTTACCTACAATGATACTAGAGACACAATAAGAATATCATCTACTATACAATGTAGATTGGCATATTGCTACATAAGCCATGATTTTCAACATTAGTTAAGAGGCCCCCAATAGGGAATTAATGTACCTTCTCCAATAACCAACAGAACAGTGAAGCAAACGCCTAGAAATATCATGCAAAGTGGAAATTTCAAAAAAAAGAGAGAGAAGATAATAGAGAGGAATGGGAAGTTAAGAATGACATGATAATTCAACATGACAACACATATCTACTTCTAAATTTTACAGCTTTACATATAACTAATTGTAATTTGGTCTCATTATCAGAAACAAATACAAGTTCAAAAATATACTAGAGCCTCTATTTGGTAAGAAACAAAATATTTTCCAAACTTTTATCCTCTAATTACTATCTACTAGAGTCAATTGGTTCGATTAACAATTACTAACTAAGTTGTCTTGACCTAGGGGTAAATAGGCTCAGGAGGAACTTCCGCTCTGGGTTCGAGTAGCATTATTGGTCACCTAACCGCACTGTAAATGGATTTAATCATCCACGCATTCCCAGATATAAGGTATCGTGAGATTAGTCTTTGGATCTAGAAATTTTTTGAAATCCCACGGTTATAAAAAAATATATATATATATCAAACACTTACTGTGCAAGCACTAACCGTTACCAAGTAAACAACTTGACAGGTGGGAAAATCTTTTTCTGGTTTCGTGGAGTTTCATTTAAAAGAAAAAGAAAACTAACGTCTGTATCTTGCGATAACCTACGAACGATCAGTCAGTGGTGACTCACATTTACATATGATTGTTGTGGCTGTAAAAAACGAGCGATACAACTTAAACTCGAATATGAATAGGTTCATGGACCAATCTATAACACAAGTTGGCTAGTGGATTTGCTACTATCTCCTTATATCAATAGTCTGCTTTTGTGTAAGTTTGATTTGTGTACATACACCAAAAATATTTGAGCAGCCACACCAAAATCTATAGGAGAGAGCATCCCCTCCCTACTCGACCCCTATAATTTGGGGTTTGAGAGTTACGACCACTCAACTTGCTGAAGTTGGAATTTGGCAAAATTCGAGTGGATTCACCGTTTCTTTTTTCTCTCGGGCCAAACCATTAATTAGTCCAATATTTTTGTTCTTCATCTCTTTTACCTTGTGGGTTCGATCTCTTGAACCAAATCGAGTTAAGGTGTGGTGTGGTTAACTGCAATGTGTCTTTGTCATGGGCGAATGCGTCAGTATTAAGTGGAGGAAAATATTACAAGATATATATGGTAAGTTTGCTTCATAGTGGATGCCTTCGGCGCTACAATGACCGGCTAGTTGCGGAATTAAGATGCATTGACATTGGATGGTGTCCGACTGTGCTATGGCGATGACAAAAGTTCTACAGCCTAGAGACTGGCCAAGATATGAAAATTTACTCGACAAAATTGGTTTCGAGGTGTGTGACTTTCACTCTGTATGAACTTAGGCGAGTACTATTGGCCGAGCGATTGGAAAGAGTGTAACTAGAGAAGCATTCCTATTGGCACGAGCGATAATCAAATTTGGGAGTAAACTCAATATGAACTACAAATTTACAGTATTTGCACAAGCGGTTATCACATCATCGTGCATGGGTTCGAAACTTCGTTATACCCCATACTAATCTTATACTAATATTTATTCGACGTTCAAAAAGGGGGAAACGGATATTCCTTCAAAGCAAACTACGTATATATATATATATATATATTCTTAGATAAATTGTAATTATAAAGTAATATAAAAAGATTTCTTCCTACGACACCGTTGAATTTATACATTAGGAATCGGTTCACAATGAAACCTTTATTCAACTTTAAATAAATGAAATCAAATTAAGTAGGAAGGGCGAGGACTATGAAACTTGTTCTATAAATAGAGCTGCAAGACTTCACTTCATCACATCCAAAACCAACTACAACACAAATCTCTGCTCTACAGTTTCATTTACATTTTTCTTTTGTAATCCTGAGAACATGGCAATGATCAGGAACAAAAACATAACCTTCTCATTGATCTTGATGTGTCTTGTGGTGTCGCCGATTGTTAATGCTCAGCTTGGGCTTGGTAGTCTTGGTGGGCTTCTTGGCGGGCTAACTAGTATCTTTAATATCGAAGGGCTTCTCATGTGCTCTATCACTGGCACAGTCTCTACCAATAACGCGACTTCCGTTCCCCCTTTCCCTAGTAAATTTTCTATTCTTTTCGATCAACATGCGTTAAGAATGTAATGAAATAATTTGTTCATGATATAATATTTAAATGTAAATTTTGTTCTATACACATATTGCTAATTACATAGTGGTGCAAATAAACAAACAGATGCGGGAATAGTGTTGCAGTGCGCGGGGCAAAATGTTTCAAGTACGACTACGAACGCTAATGGAGTATTCTCGATTCCTACTCTTGGAGCCATCTTTTCGCCTTCAACACTCCTCTCCTCCGGTTGTAGGATCATCGTCACGACTCCTCTCACCGCCTGCAACGTCAACCTCCCTGCCAGTGGTTTACTCGAGGCACCTTTAGCTCTACTCGGAACCGCTACCGGCGGCGGCCTCAACATCTTCAATCTCATTCCAGGTGCCTTTAACCTCGTCCGTTAACTGATTCCAATCAACCGAGTATGCTTTATATGTTTGATCACGGTGTGTTTCCCATTTTCTGTTTGTTTTTTCTTGTTTTGTCTCATGACCAATAACGTTTGCTTGCGTATGCATGAATAAGGTCAACATAATAATTAAGGCGTATGTCTTTGTCTTCAAAGTATTGTTATTGCAACTTCTTTTTTTTTTTATCTAATAAGGTCTTAATATGCATGTATAATGCTGTAACGGAATGTAATGGAATAATATGAAGAAAAACAATTTAGTGAGAGCCGCAGATGTGTGACATGTGTCCATCACTTGTATTGTATTTATTGCATGTACAATATTTATATCTGCCTATTGGACTGAAACTTGTTAACAGTTTTGTCCATCACTCTTATTGTATTTCACTTATCAAACTTAATTGATGTTTTTTGTCCTCTCTCACTTTCGTAGTTTCTTCTCTGTGGGTATACATAAATAGAACCCTAGATCATTTTGCAAAAATAAGAACAAAATGATACATTTAACCGATGGTGCTCTGTTATATCTCATGCACTATACTTATTTTTGTTTATAATATAAAAATTCTACTACCTATATCTCTTTTAATAGCGTTCAAGCTTTTTATGTTACTAACCTGTCCGAGAGTTTAATAAAAATGTCACAAACTCACAGTCTTAGAAAATAGGAACCCTTCCAATACTTATTTTTCTAATTCTAACAACTCTTCATACAAAAAAAATAAATTTGTGATAATACACACACACACACACATATTAATAGAACTGTAATACTTTCTAAAATGCATCTTTCAAAATCAACATTTACATCTTAGTTTTGTTTCTTCGCTCTTTTGTAGTTTTCTTCCATCTCAATTTAATCTATGATCACCAAAAGTATAGAGTTTTTTATATACAGTGTATCTAAACCGACAAGTTAAGTGATTGGAATAGTTGATAAATAAAGGTGATTGGAATAAGACCAATAAATAGTCTTTATTGACAATCAAAATAGAGAGGCTAACCAAAAGCAGGTTAAGGGCATCAACATCAGTAGTTCACAAACTGAGTTTTTTATTATTTTTTTTTTTTTCGTTTTTTTTTTTTTAAAGTGATCAATCGTGGGTCGCCACATGGTGTGGAGCCCACGAAACAGTAGTGAATCAGGTTCACTGTCATGAACCTCTGCGGCCCAAGTTCACAACTTTGATATTATTTTATTGTTTTTTTTTTTTGTTGGTTTGTGTGTGAACCTCCCCCATCATCCTTTGATGGGGTGCTCTAAAGGTAAGAGTCTACGATGGTTTAATCCATGTGCGCTCCTCTTGCTTACTATTTTTATTTATTTTTTGTGGACATCAATTGTTTTGACGAACACATGGCCATCCACACCCTCATATATAACCACTAATTTACGATCATCAATAAGATAATCACCAATCTAAGGGTTCAGTTCAACCCAAACTTAGTTATTATTTGCAAGAGTATCTAGAGCTACGCAATAGTTAAGGCTAATACACAAACATTCAAACTATTCCTTAAAATAATGCTATATATTCAGTTTAGTTGAATATCTATTCTATTAAAACAGAGTCATTCTTTTTATCTACTGATACAAGTTGTCATTTAAATTTGGACTCTTTCTAGAATGTTACAAATAATATAAGTTATATAATTGATTGAACCGTATTACTTAAATTAAACCAACACAATTAATGTAAAGAGACGACCTTAATGTAAACTACTTTCAAAATACGGCAGGTATCTATGTGTATACCAAAACACACATATTTTCTCCTACAAATATGGAATGTTCTAAAAGAATATATCATCAAAATGTAGAATATGGAAATCTACTAATTATACTTAAACTAAATTGTGGTTTTTTATGAAATATAGTCTTGGACTTACTTTTATTTTTTGAACAAATTATATAGTTTGGTTTTTTGGCTTAGTATTAAGAAAAAACTCCAAAAACATTGAATAAAATTTTCATCTTAAAAGATCAAAAAAATCAATTATTATTTTCACACCCAAAAGGTATTTAATATTTTTAACAAAACAAAATTATCTATTATTAATCATTTATTTAAATCATGTACTTTAAAACATGTTAATATATTTTTTTATTTTAAATAACAATCACTTTGTTTTGATAAATTTCAATGGTAACTTTTAAATAATTTATTGTTTTATTTTTCTTAAATAGTTTACTGATTAAAAAATTGTAAAGCAAAACCAAAAACCAAATCTAAAAACTAAAATCCAAAACAAAAAGCTGAAAACGCATGTTATATTTTTTTGCTTTGTTTATTTACAAAATAAATTATTTCAAATTTTTTAAAAAAAAGTTTGTTATCATCTTTTCAGTTTTAAATTAGATGTTTGATTATTTGAAATTTTTTTGTTGGTAATATTAGTTCAAACTAACTCAGCGGGTTTAAAAATCAAAAACCCAAACCAAAAACTGAAAATGAAAAGTAGAAACTTAAAAACTAAAAACCAAAATCTAAAAATAAAAACTGAAACTAAAAACTAATGAAAAACAATCATCACCACAAATTTTGGTGAACTGATATTATATCAAAAATATTCTTTTAATTAAGACAAAACCCAATTATATAAATTTTTAATCATAAAAAATTTCCGCGCTTTCAAGCGCGGGTCAAAATCTAGTTTATATATAATTATGTATGATTATTACTCTTTCTGTGTAGATAAAATGTAAATGTTTTAGTGTCTTACTACAATTTTGTAATGCATCTACTATATTTTTCAATGATTTGTTTTGTGCCAGACTATAGTGCTAAGTAATAAAATTTTTTCTTTCTACTACATCTCTTCAGGAATAAATCTATTCAAAGATTTCCTTGTGTATCCAATTTAAAGCATCACTTGTGCAACAAAAATATAAGATGTTGGTGGGGTTTTAGGGTTTTGTATACAAGTATTTAAAGCTGGAGATAATGCATAAACCACATGACGTGTGTCAGAAAGATTATGTTTCATTTAGTTTGCCTTTTCATTTGTTTTGCTATCGCTATTCATCCAAAATATTAGTAACAGTTTCACGAAATTATGCGCCTTTTGGCCGACCAAAACAAAGAAGAAGATTTAAGTCTGCCAGAAAAACATATACAGTGGTCGATTACATACAATTCTTTTCAGAAACGCAGCATGTGAGTCATCATCATTTCATGTACTGTATGTCTTTCTCAACCATGTGATCAATAGATTGTGTTAACTTCGCTAGATTCTTTTTACCTTTTAAACTTTGTTTGCATACCCGAAATCTAACCACATAACATTTACAAAAGAAGAAACAAACGTACAAGTGTCATACTCGTAACAGATCAAAACAATGTGAATTCAATTCCAATCACCAACCTTTAACTTCAAATATAACAAAACAAAACAAAAAAGCTTAATTATATCTTCGATTGTTGCATCTTGCCTTAATCATCATAACTCACCAAACACTTAAACAGTAACTCTATTTTGTCATTACATGGCTGAATCACTTTCCTCCTTTCGTGTGGTAGTCTTGGTAATATAGAGAGATTAAAGAAAACGGATATACTGTTTCAAAACAAAAAAAAAAAAAAAAAAAAAGAAAACGGATATACATGACGACATGAAACAGTTAATATTCAAACAGAAAACAATACAACGAAGAATAACGAGAAACAGTTATTTTTTTAAATTGATTATATAAAAAAATGAAAAAGACAGTTAGGCCAACTAACCAAACACATGTGTTTGTCCCCCTTCACGACCTGTCGGAGAACTGACGGCGTTTAGAACAGCAGTCATGGCGCGAATCTGCATCTCCACGGCAGCTATATAATCCATAGTCTCTTCCAAAACAACCGGCAACGTCTCTTTACAGCAACCGGGAACCAACCGGCTAAGCACTCTCACCTTCCTCTGTACAGACGCCACACCTTTAGCCTTAACCCTCGCAACCGTCGCTCTCTGTTTCTTTGACCGGATACTCCCGGTGATGATTACCGGATTAGAGATTCTCTGCCGTTTGTGTTTTCTGAATTTTAGTTTTACGGATTTGGAAAGTATCGCTATGCTCCATAATGTTTTGCCTCTTGCCGTAACCGCCAAGGCTCTGTCCGCGACTTCGCGCACGGCTCTAACGGTGTGAGGAAGGGAGGATGGTTTAGTGATCGTTAGAGCACGTGCGAGCTTCGTGGTGTAGATCTGTTGCTGCTTCTCCGATCTCCATGGAGATGGAGACGGTGGAGATTTTGTTTTTCGTTTCCGGCGAGAGTGATCGGAGGTAGAGCTCGTTGACGTGGAGTCCATTAATTGCTGATGATTAGAACTTCGAGAGAATCGGGTCGGTTTGGTTTTAATACTAGACCGATCGGATTCAGAACCAGAGAAACTCAGATCTGTGTGTAATGTGTATGCACGAAAGGTAAACCAGGAGATGAGTAAACCGGAAAGAGATTAGAGAAAGGATAACAGAGAGATGATTAGTGATTAATTATACCTTTATGGAGGAGGTTGGAGAACGGAACGGAACGAGGAAGGAGGTGGGAAGAGATGAGGTGTCGAGAGAGGAACACGAATCCTTTTTTTTTTTTAACAAAGGAAAGCAATGAATCGCATTTTTTATACATGAAATTTACTGTCGTTCACTATCATGCTGAATAAATTATTGATTATCCTAACTACTTTTTTTTTTGGGATCAAATCCTAACTACTTTTTATTTACAAATATCTCCACGAGTCACTATCACTATTATGGAGTACTTAGACCATGTGCATTAATGAACTCCCCTATTAGGGTTTACAATTGGAATTTTTTATTATTATTTTCTTTTTCGTTTGATTTTGCAAAAAAAGAAAAAAAAATACATTGACCAATAGCAGGTCGCCATGTGGCGTGGAGCCTGCAAAACAGTGATGAACTCCACTCCTCACATGTTCATGGGAGAGAGGTGGAGAGAGATAGGATCATGGGCAAAATATTATTTTAATATATTTTCTTCTTGAAAACTGTGTAAACCTTGGCCATGATCTTTCAATATACATGGTCTTGACCATGTCCATCGAAAGGTTCTGACCCAGTATCAAGACAATAAAGTTAGTGTTAAAAGCTAAAATGAGGAGGAAAGAGAGAGATATGGGGTCTGAAACAAACACGGCGAAAATCGGTATCAAAACATTTTTTACACATGTCCGTTTGCTAATGATTTTAATTTTTGTTTTACATTAAAAGTTATTTCTTTCTTACCCATACAGTAAAAGTAACAATAATTTTATGATTGGATCTGTAAATGAGATTCTCACCAATGGATCTGTCCTTAAAGCAAAATTATCAATGTATTTTAGGTGATATCTTAGGGAGGGAGACCACTGGATTTGCAGAACCAAGGAAGAAAGTATGTTAGTTTGGGACATTTTTGTTTGATCCTTATGATTGTTTACGGGCTCTATTAATACATGGCGGCATACAATTGACCTATTTTTTTTTTAAGTAAAAAAAAAAGAAAAAAAAAGTTTAAGAACTTTTAAAAGTCCTTGCCAATAATGTTGCCCTTAACTAATGACATTTGGTTTCATAATTATTTGTTCGTAATCAACTCATTATGTCTCAGAACCTATACAAAACAGAAAACTTGAGAGCATCTTTAATGCTAAAACCGTATCGTGATTTTTTTTTTTTGGTCTGAGAAAAAAAAGAATTATCAATCGAACTAATCATGAACCGCTGTATGTCGGTGGAACCCGCAAACAATGCAAAAATCTTTCCATAATCGGTTTTTATTTCATTACTTTTGTGATCGGTTTTTATGATTTTTGTGGGGTTTCTAGATTAAGAAACCCCCTAATAATCCAGAATAAAGAGGGGCGAGAGACTCTCAAACCTAGAAGTGATTTAAATAAACAAGATTTTACTAGATCTACTGACTACTATATGAGGAATGTCACCAACAGTGAAGTGTAAAGAATCTTAAACCGTACAACAAACCTATACAAGAAATCCAAATATGAATTTATTGGAGAAGTAGTTGTCAAAAAAAAAAAATTGATTGGAGAAGCCCATACAAGTCCATCAAGTTAAGGCAGTTCTTCAACACAGGCCTATAATGAACAGGCCCATTAATCTGACCCATTTTCTCTGAAGTATACGTCCTAGAAAACCCTAATTCCTAAAATTCCATTATATACAACACCATTCGATGTTGTATTATCTCACACCCAGTCTCTCTCGCTAGGGTATGCTTGCTTTGATTGATCTATGCTTATTGTTCTCTCGCTAGGGTATATGCTTGTTTTGATCGATCTATGCCTATTGTCTTGCAAATTTTTTGTATACCTGATTTGATTCGCTTCTTAGATTGATTTCCCTGTAGAGTTTTCAGTATCTGTGGGATGAATCTCTCAACTTTTTTAATAGAGAGGCGGTAAATTTAAGCAGGGGCGTTGAGTCGCTTCGCCTATGTAAAAAACAGGCATAGCGAATAAGCTCGTGCTACATTTAAATCGTTTTTAACCTTCATCTTTATTTAAGATTTTGAAGGATCCTATGATGGCATGAAATCTTTGAGACCTGATTTATTTTATTGATGAAAAGCTATAAGCATTTTTACTCTGAGGATCCTATTTTTTTATTATTGTATGTATTTTTTCTAAAAACTAAAAGAATAGAAAAGGTGATGAATATGCACTGGGCTCTGAGAAGTTTGATTGACAGTCGACTTCTTTTTGATGGATAATGCTGCCTAGAAAGCTTAATCTGATTTTCTTAATCTTCGTTCTTCAAATTGTTTTCTTAAAATCTTTATCTAGTTAATGCTTCTTGTTCGAATTGATAAGACTCTAATATACGTTGTAATATAACATTCTCTGTTTTATCTATGTATCTTATATGCTGCCGTACACTAACGTATTATCTTTTCATTCCTGCCGTATCTTTCCTCTGTTTTGTCCGACCATCGCATGATTTTTCCGACAATTGCCACTACGAGACTTGATATGAAATCCGTTGTATTCAGATGTTTGGCCATCTAATATATTTGCAATGTCAATTCTAATGTAAACTGTCAATTTTCATATTGTTTTAATGAAAGTTTTAGTAGTGAATGTTGTTGCGTAATAGATACGCAGATGCAAATAATTACTTATGACAACAGTAAACCTCAATGCTAATGTCAGTAAATATGTATGTATTTTGCTAAATGAACTTATACACAAATTTTAAAAAGAAATTCTATAAAGATTGAGTCAAAAACATTTCAGTGAACTTTTAACTTTATGGTTCTAACATACCTCAGAAGTCATGTGTACAAAGTTTCACCATCGAGAACGACATTTATGTGTTTCAAGAAAAGAAAAAGAACGATATTTATACAAGCCTAATGGCACTTCAAACGATTTCATACACTGGAGAGAAGTCATAAGCGAAGTGTAAAAGAAGTCATAAGCACTAGTTTCTTTCACTGGCCTATGCTTAACATAAGAAGTTACAGTATGTATTATAAAAAATAATACATCTAGGTTACAGACGTACTGTCACATGCCAAAACTCAAAAGAGAAACATATCAGTAAAACGACACGCATTCTTGGAGGAAGAACGGCAAGACGACGGAAACTACTTAAAACAAGAAAAGTAGTAGTAGTAGACATCAGAAGAGAACTATGCAGGACTTGAAAAGAAACCAGAGTCAGAACATACCCCGCTTTAATACAAACACAATTCATTACGTACCATGTCGTTTTCCACATTTTTGATGTTTGCCCAGTGTTTTTTTATTACCCTTCTAGGCAGAAAGTGTCATATAACCAACCAAGTAAGAAGATGAAAATAAAAAACATTTTTGTAAATTATGTTTTCAGTGTTCAAGCGCACTCCGAACAGAGAGTGCTGAGTCTTGGCTTGTGTTCGTGTGCCCTCTGGAGATGAGGTCATGGTTCAAGAACACTACTATAACCGTGATGTCATCATGAAAATGGCGTCTCACTTTCTTGTCAATCTTCCTTAGATCTGAATATCTCATCTCTCTTTTCCTCGCTGCCTCTTGAAGAGCCGCTTTTATCAGTCTCTTTGCACTTCCCTGTAGACAGAGAGAGTGAACACAACAAGACACAGTCCAACAAAATCAAATTATATCCAAAACACAAGGAGACACAGTCCAACAAATCAATTTTATATCCACAACACAAGTAGACATAGTCCATTAAATCAATTATATATCAAGAACACAAGAAGACACAGTACACTAACACAAGAAGACATAGTCCAACAAATCAACTCTATATCCAGACACTTGTAATTATTAGGACACTGATTCAACTCCTATATGAAACCTATCCTCAGCAATTTAACTCTATGAGCAAACTACCAATCACTGAAAGTCAATAATTTTGTTTGAGAAATATGTTAAAATAGAAACTTACAGCGCGAGGATGGCTATGAACAATCTCAACTGCTTTTTCATTACTCAAATGTTCCCAAAGCCCATCAGATGCAAAGATGAGGAACGAGTCATTAGGATGCAGAGGATGAGAGAGTATAGTGGGAGTTGCAGACATCAAAGGTCTCCTCATTGGCTCTGCAATCCTGAACTTCTGAGCGATCGGTTCCCTGTTAAACTCTTGCCGTTTCATGTACATATCTCCTATAGATCTCGAAACCTATAAAACCAAAACTGAAACCATTATGCTAACATGGAATCACTAGCAAATACATGTTCATTGCCTAAAGAGCTGACCTGGATGATGCCCTTAACTCTCCAAACACCATGCCTAAACACAACGATCTGCGGATCATCAGGATGCAAGTCCTTAAGCTCCCAACGAATATCCTCATTGTTAGCATTGTGTTCACTCGAAAGCTGAATAGCAGAGAGCCCACCACCACAGTTACTTTTCTTCCCAAGAACAACTCGTGAGTCACCAAGGCTAGCCACGAAGAGAGTACTCTGATATATCACTCCAACTAAACAACAAGTGCCAACAGTTGCTAAATTAGGCATCGTACTCCATAGTTCAGACACTATAGAAGCAAACCCTTCTTCAGTAGCATGAAAGGCTCTCTCTATAGTCTCTCTCGTCACAACTCCTTGCGTCTCCGCTGATATCTCTGCATAACCATAAAGCCTAAGCAAAATCCCAACATAAGAGAAGGCTCCTAAAGAGTTGGCTACAAACTCATCACACTCCATCATCAATTCAAGAGCCAATGACCCGTTCTAAAAATCCGCCTAGTCCGCAAATCAGATATGACCGAAACTATTTTTTCAAACTGATTTTAAATATCTTTATTCGTCCGCCTAAACAATAAACCTCTATAAAACGCCTAAACACCGCTTAGCGATTGATTTTAAATATCTTTAGTCGTCCGCCTAAACAATAATCCTCTATAAGACACCTAAACACTGCTTAGCGATTGATTTTAAATATCTTTAGTCAGTCTGCCTAAACAATAATCCTCTATAAGACGCCTAAACACTGCTTAGCGATTGATTTTAAATATCTTTAGTCAGTCCGCCTAAACAATAATCCTCTATAAGAGGTCTAAACACTGCTTAGCGATTGATTTTAAACATCTTTAGTCGCACACCTAAACAATAATCCTCTATAAAACGCCTGCCTAAACAAGGCTTAGCGATTTTTAAAACATAACCCTTAACTAAACCCATCACAAAGCTCACAAGTGTTCCCTAAAGTCAAAGAACCTAACTTTGTTCAAAACCTAAAACAGAGTAAAAGTCAAAGAACCTAACTTTTATTGACCAAACACAATCTTCATCCAAAACTTAAAAAACATAACACGACGAACCTCGAAAACGGTTGAAGAGATTATCACAGACATAACGAGCAGCTTCAGGACCACCATGACCATCATAAACCCCAACAAAAGTCCCGAAATTACCAGACTCGATCTGGCTCTGATCTTCAAGAACCTGATTAGCTTGAATCACAGCCATGGAGAATTCTCCTCCACGGTACTTTCCTAGATCACGGAACCAAAGCAACCCGTCTTTCCCTTCACCACTACCCGATCCAGACTCTGAGCTGTTGTTATTATTATTATCAAAAGTTTGCCCGAATGGCTTGAAACAGAGAGACAACAGATTCATCAATGAACCTGGCATTCAACATTTCTCGGAAAAAAAACACAGACCGTACGATTCGTGGGTCACTGTTACTTGGAAAAAAAGGAGCGGGCTTTAGGGGATTAAACGACGAAATGGGGTGTTTATTAGATCGGGAGAGAGAGAGAGAGAGAGAGAGAGAGAGAGAACAACCCTAGGTCTTAAGGGAAGGGAAGATGCGTAGGTTAAGATGTTAGGCGTAGGGTAAGGACTTTAAAAAGGGCGTAGGTTAGTTGAGGGGGGGGATGACGGACGTGTCTTGTCCGGTTGCAGAGGAACAAAGAAATTCTCGGTTGTAATTTTTTGTCTGATGAGGANGAGAGAGAGAGAGAGAGAGAGAGAGAGAGAACAACCCTAGGTCTTAAGGGAAGGGAAGATGCGTAGGTTAAGATGTTAGGCGTAGGGTAAGGACTTTAAAAAGGGCGTAGGTTAGTTGAGGGGGGGGATGACGGACGTGTCTTGTCCGGTTGCAGAGGAACAAAGAAATTCTCGGTTGTAATTTTTTGTCTGATGAGGAGAGCGATCTTTCTTCTTAGCTGTCTTCTCTACATTTTTATTAATTTTTTTACTACACTATTATGCAATTGTTTGGCTCGGAAAAAAGAAATCACTATTTGTCATAAAAAGTTTGAATAGTGAGTTTGAATAAGTTTGATATCTCTTGTTTTTTTTTTATTTATTGTTTGTTATAAATTTGGTAATATGTTATTGTTATACAGATTTTATTTTTAGTAACCTATTCATATGTAATGTCCCCCCTTTTTTAATACTTTTTGAGAATTATCTTCATTTCAGGTTATTATATAGCTGCTTTTTTTTATATATTTTGAGAATTAGTTTCATTTCGGGTTATTATCCATCTGCTTACTTATTACTCCGTTTCGAATTACTTGTCATTCTAGAGAAATTTTTTTGTTTCAAAATAAGTGTCATTTTAGAATTTCGAGGCAAAATTTATCAGTTTTATATGATATTTTATTTTTCAATTGATTGAAAAAGTGGTTAGATGTATAGGTAATTGTGTTTTTATCTTGAAAATATATAAAATTAAATGTTTCCTTAACCTGTGTGCAAAAACTTAGAATGACAACTAAACTGAAACAGATGAAATACTAATCTTTACTTTATAGTTGAAATAACTCGAATAAAAAAATAGATGTAATGTGTTTTAGTAGTTATAAGATTAGTATTTTTCCACATATGTGATCCTTCAAGCGATACATCCATACATTCCGAGTTCTTTCACTTCCACTACTGGATTGCTTTGCCACGCGGGGCCTAGCTTTCCTCAAGCATCGGTATGTGTTAAATCAAGATGTTGGCTATGTCTAAGTCTACTAACTACTAGACTGTGAATGAGATTGTTGTGCACTATCCTTGTAAATTGTTTTAGTGTATCTACTGTATTGAAAACTCATCTCATTGCATATAGCACAATCCATGCCAAAGAAAAAATATTATATAATAGTACAATGCAGATATCTATTAAAATGATTTTTACATCTTTCTCTGTTGCAATAGTAATTAGTGATTAGAATGGTCAAAGAAAAAAAAAGAGTGTGTGTAGGTGATTATTTCGATCTATACTTATTCTCCACTTATAGTGTAACAATTCTTTTTTTTTCTTGTAACAGTTATAATTTTATCTCTTTATAAATATTTATGTAAAAAAATGAGAATAGTATAAAAAAATCATTGTAATTCATACATAACAACGTATAGTTAGCTACTTATATAATCTGTTGTATTAACAACTTAAATCTTTTGTTTTTTTTAACAATTTTATCTTTTGTTATTCCTCTATAGAAACATTTGTTTAAATTATTTTGTTATATTAAGCAAAAGGAGCTATTCGCGACTTAGGAAGACACCACCTGAGCTTAAAATCAGCCAAAGGGGTGGTTAGCAATCGCATGTCATCTTTTCTTTATTTTTTNATCTGTTGTATTAACAACTTAAATCTTTTGTTTTTTTTAACAATTTTATCTTTTGTTATTCCTCTATAGAAACATTTGTTTAAATTATTTTGTTATATTAAGCAAAAGGAGCTATTCGCGACTTAGGAAGACACCACCTGAGCTTAAAATCAGCCAAAGGGGTGGTTAGCAATCGCATGTCATCTTTTCTTTATTTTTTGGGTCTAAATGTTATCTTTTCTTTGTTCTATTTTTCTTATCCAACAAAGGCGCATACAAGATTCCGAGAAGGATAATGGACGGTGGACCGACTTATGATCTCTTTGACATAGAAGAGTCCGTTACCGATATTTTACTATTTTTAGCTTTTGACGTCTTGGCCTATGCATGGTATCGTCTGTTAATCTTGCAAGATCCATTTTCTCTGTTTCTCCACTCTCATTTTGTGTATCCAAACTCTGTAGATATCAAAATAATGCGACTCATTCTCCCAACCATAACTGCAAGACAATAAAGTTCGGCAAACAGTGTCCAGCAAAGATCTAGAAACAAACTCTTTTTAATTTTTTTGTTATTCAGCTTAAACGATGCTTATTATTATTATTGTGTTGTCAATAGTAAGATTTACATTGTGATATTACATTGTTTCAAAAAGTTAAGAATTCCAAGGATAACAAATATCAAACATTTGACTGTTTTTGTTAAGTTTGCAAGGTCCATTTCTGCGTATCTTCCATTCGCATCGTCTGCATCCAAACTTTTCAAACTCCCTGTCTCTCTTTTGTTTGTAGATATCAAAAGAATGCGACTCTTTATTCCAACTAAAACTACAAAAAAATAACGTACGGCCAAATATATCAGGTTTGAAGCCAAAGGACCCTGATCCACCTGGTGCCAAACTCTTGTATCCAAGATCATCATTCCCCGATTTACAATGGTATCCTAGCGATAAACCACCTCCAAGATCATTATGTATCACCACGGTAGTCGTTTTCTGGGCTTGAGATATAGTTGCACTTATGAACATAGTTATCATGAAGATAGTTATGAGATGTGTTTGAGAATCCATTTTTGCTTTTGTATCTCTTTGTTTGATTTCTTATAATATTTCTTTAGTTTGTATGTTCTTATATATTGATATTTGAGTATTTAGCCGTTTTGGTAAGGGTATGGTCAAAACTCAAAACGTCTAAAAAGACTTGTAACAATTCAAGCATATTAAATTATGTTCTCTTTTTTTTTTGTCAATAACTGTTTTAATTCCTAGATCAACTTTATGGGACCAAAGTTCTAACTTTAAATCAAACACTCTGACTTGACTAGCACGATCAATCATATTTACTGTTGATTTTAGAGGTTTGAAGGGATAATGATATATTCATCTATCTTGGGAATTTAGCTAATCTATTGTATTCCTATTCCTAGTTATATTACGATGCAGATGTCTATTAAAATGTTCTACTATGTTGCAATAGTAATTAGGTGACTAGAATGGTCAAAGAAAAAAGGAGCCATTACAAAAATGCATGAACATTGTATAAAAAAACTTCATTGTAATTATCACACATACGTATAGTTAGCTATTATTGTATAATCTTTTGTTTTTATGATAACTTAACCTTTTGTTTTTAATAGCTTAATCTTTTGTTGATCCTCTGTGGAAACATTTGTTAAATTATTTATTCTAAAAAACATTTGTTTAAATATTTTGTTATTAAGTAAAAGAAGCTATACGCGACTTAAGAAGACACCATTAAAGCTTTAAATCAGCCAAAGGGGTGGTTAGCAATCGCATGTTATATTTCCTTTCTTGGGTCTTTGTATGCAACAAACGCGCATACAAGATTTGGCGAAGGATGGTGGACGGTGGAGTGGACCAACTTTTTTTTTTGCTCGTACATCAATTTTTTCATTAGCCAAGATATGAATACAAGATTACAACCTCTTAAAGATTTTAACTTCACATATAATGTCGAGATTTAGTAACACTTATGAACACTTAGAAGGATTCTATGCTACCTAATCGAGGCCGATATTTCGTGACCGATATTTTACTATTTTCTTTCCTCTATTTTTCGCTTTTGACATCTTGGCCTATGATCTGTTTCGTCCTATGCGTGGTATCGGGTCTATCGGCTGTATTTCCAAATATCTGTATTGAAATTTGGCTTAGTCATTCTATTATCTTAGAGGAAAAAGGAAAAGAAAAGTGAGAGATAGAGATCGAACTTAAATGTTTTTAAAATCAAGAACTCCTTGCAGAGCAAAGATCAAACATGCTTAATCTTGCAAGATTCATTTTCTATATTTCTCCACTCTCATTTTGTGTATCCAAATTCTGTAGATAGCAAAATAATGCGACTCATTCTCCCAACTATAACTGCAAGACAATAAAGTTTGGTAAACAGTGTCCAGCAAAGATCTAGAATTATTCCTTTTTTGTGTTATTTAGCTTAAACGATGCTTATTATTACTATTGTGTTGTCAATAGTAAGATTTATACATAGTGGTAGGGCTGGGCAAAAAAAACCGAACCCGAAAATCCGAACCGAATCCGACCCGATAAAAAGGAACCCGAACCGATCCGAACCCGACATAAGTACCGAATGGATCTTGTTTTACGGTATTTCGGGTTATGGGTATTACCCGAACCGAACCCGAACTTAAATGGATATCCGAAAGAACCCGAAACTTTAAAATTCCAAAAAAACTTGNGTTATGGGTATTACCCGAACCGAACCCGAACTTAAATGGATATCCGAAAGAACCCGAAACTTTAAAATTCCAAAAAAACTTGTATCATATCCAATCTAAATTTCTAATATGTTTCCAAAACAGATTAATATATTATTGAGTACCTACAATAATTAGTTATGATATAAATAATTAACTCAAATATTTAGTCTAATATATAATGTTATTTGGTTAATATTAATGTTTATGATTGACATTACATTTGAAGTTAAGTTACGAATAAATTTGTTTTGAAGTTTATATAATGTTGTTTTTAAAAGTTTAAATAGCACTTCTTATGTTTATAGAATTGTTAGTTGTTAACTTTAATTTTTTATGTTTCATTATGTATTATATTTCGTTCATACAAGGCTTTGGTTGTCATTAATCATGATATGTTTAGTATTGTCACATATAGTTCATTAACAAATTTTATATGGTTGATAAATGAGTTTCACAATATTATTTTGAAGGAGAACAATATGGTTTGTAGAAGCTAAATACACAAATTTAATAAAATGATTGAAAATATTGTGAGTTTAATTGAGTATAAATTAGTATTTTTAGAACCGATAACCCAATTAGTATCCGAAACCGAAACTATTTCGGGTTCAAACGGATCTTGGACATGTTACTAAACCCGAACCGAACCCGACTAAACCCGAACCGAGTCCGATCCGAATTTTTATTATATCCGAATGGGGCTGAAATTCATGAACCCGAAAACCCGAAACCCGAATGAACCCGAACCGAAACCCGATTGGGACCCCGATTGCCCAGCCCTACATAGTGGTATTACATTGTTTCAAAAAGTTAAGAATTCCAAGGATAACAAATATCAAACATTTGACTGTTTTTGTTAAGTTTGCAAGGTCCATTTCTGCGTATCTTCCATTCGCATCGTCTGCATCCAAACTTTTCAAACTCCCTGTCTCTCTTTTGTTTATAGATATCAAAAGAATGCGACTCTTTATTCCAACTAAAACTACAATAAAATAACGTACGGCCAAATATATCAGGTTTGAAGCCAAAGGACCCTGATCCACCTGGTGCCAAACTCTTGTATCCAAGATCATCATTCCCCGATTTACAATGGTATCCTAGCGATAAACCACCTCCAAGATCATTATGTATCACCACGGTAGTCGCTTTTTGGGCTTGAGATACAGTTGCACTTATGAACATAGTCATCATGAAGACAGTTATGAGTTGTGTTAGAGAACCCATTTTTGATTTTCTTTCTTATAATATTCTTCAGTCTATATGTTCTTATATATCGATTTATGAGCAGCCGTTTTGGCAAGGGTATGGTCAAAACTCAAAACGTCTAAAAACATTTGTAACAATTCACGCATATTAAATATTTTTCTGTGTTCTCTAATTAAATATTTTCTCTGTTTCAGATCAGTTGATATTTAAGGTTTTTGCACACTTATTTAAAATTGTTAACCTTGATTCATTTTGCCTTTTTGCATAAAATCACATTAGTTAATGCTAACCTAACCAATAAAAATCATAGTAGTACTACATAATACAAATGGTCAAAAACATCAAATAACATTTAATGTTTTGTTTAGAAATTTGAAAACATCATTTACTTAAACAAAAGTAAAACATCACTTACTTAACAAAAGTAAAACATCATTTAAACTTAAACGCCGGATCCACTTCTTTTTTCCTCTCGTCTATACCTCATCGTAGTTCCCTTCTGTTGTGGCTGCGAAATTTTGCTGTCGTTCTGCGACGAGGTGGCTCTTCTGGTGTAGTGGTTGGATGTGGCGTGCTTGAAGTATCACTAGATCATCAGTTTCAGTCATATGTAGCTATAGGAGGTGTATGTTGGCCTCGTCCATTGCTTCTTAGGGTCCATCTGGGCACCATCTTTTTCTGAGTAAAGAAGCAGGTGCTTGCCTCTCAGCCGCATTGCTCCTTTTGGTCACATTTAATCAGTTTGCTGATTTCGATTCTTCTTGCAACTTTCGTTATGGTTGCTGATTTGAGTTATTCATACCACCTACTGGTGGAATGTTGTATTTCATCGGACAAACATTATGTTGTTGTCCTTTAGAACTTGAAGTTTTCAGTTTGCAAAATAAATGAACATAATGAGTAACTTTCTTTAGACAAATGTATTGGTCAAAACCCTCACTATTTTCCAAGATTTATTTGCATCAATTCTATTAAAACTAAAGTAAAAAATAAAACTTTTCTATTCTTAAGTGATTTATTACAATTTCAGTAATTTTATTTACCATATAATTTGACATCATTAATTTGAAATATTAACCATTTATTTTATTAAAAATAAACATCATATTAAAAAAATAACTACCCGCTCAGAGCCAAGCTCTAGTTAATACGTTAAAAACGACTAATAATACCACACGTCATGTGAAAGTTGTGAACCATATAACATAATCTCAAAAACTACAATATCTCTAACTCGATCATCTCAACAGTTAAAGTTGGTTATTCCCAGGATTTTGATACAATAAGAACTAAATCCAATGAATTTGTCACATATGTAGTGAACATAAGACAAAGCATAATCTTAACTAATTCCACTATTCAATTCAACATGGACTGCTAAAAATTACGAATGCTTCTTTGGAGGTCCCAAAGGTCTAGTGTCGTCCATCTTTCATAATTAATAAAATCCACCGTAATAACGATAAGCAACCTTAATTAGCTTTCAAAGATTCATCAACCTGATAGATAAACACTGACAAGTTCATGTCCACATTCTTCCGTGACCCACATAGAAGTTCTATCACAACTTGTGGAAAATTAGCCACAAACCTTGCCTCGCATTGTTGTAGTTTAATTATGAAGAGATAACGCTTATAAGTAGATCCATGAATATTCTCGAAGCCAATCCATGAATAATTATGGAGCTAAACCAATATTTAGTGTAGAGCATTGTATGTCTACACACCATTATAACTCATGATACCAATATCGATTCATGTCGAACCGATTGCTAGATGATAAACAATGTGACAATATTGTGAGAAGAATATAAAAAAGGATATGAATAACAAGAAAATAATATACCAAAATAGTCATTAGTAACGTGGACGATGAATGGTTTATTCCGTGTAACCATTACACAACGATCATATTTGTTAGTAACCAAAGTTAGAAATATGTATATCACTCGAAGTACTTTTCGCCCATTCATCAAGAATAAATATCGTTTTTATTGAAACACCAAGAATAAATATCTATAAATAAAAAAGGATTCCTAATAAAAACCCATCTCCTTCATATCCCACACCTCCCAAAACAAAACACAACCAAACACCTAAATTTAAAATCTTCATTCACCAATATAATAACTTTTTTTCTCACATCTCTCTTCCAAAAAAAAAAAAGAACGATGGAAGACCTAACAAGAATGATCCTTGTCATAACCGTGGTTGTAATGTTCGTATGGGGTTCGGACGCATCAGCAATGCAAAAGACAAAGTTCGACGCGCCGCTTCTAACTGAAAAAATCGCAACAAATAGATCGATAATTGTCGATATTGAAGGCAAAGGAGACTACACTTCGGTTCAAAAAGCCATTGATGCTGTCCCTGTTGGTAACTCTAATTGGATTATCGTCCATGTCCGTAAAGGAATCTACAAGTACGTTTACCTTTTACGAGGTTTAACCTTTTACATTATTTCATATGCCGTATATACCATGCTACATATCATATAACCAAGCATGGATTTACATAACATTCTGAAATTTGATGACGATAATTTATATTATTTTGGGGAAAAAGAGAGAGAGTGCACATTCCGGAGAACAAACCGTTCATATTTATGAGAGGCAACGGTAGAGGAAGAACGGTCATAGAATCTTCGCAGAGTTCGGTCGATAATGTTGATTCTGCCACATTCAAAGTCGAAGCTAACCACTTCGTTGCTTTCGGTATCACCATCAGGGTATGTAAATAACATAATTGTAGATTTAGAGTGTTTTTTATATATTTATTATTATGAAAATGGCATTGGTGTGTTAATGAAGTTGCGTGATGAATATACAGAATGATGCACCGGTGGGAATGGCGTTCACGTCTGATAACCAATCGGTGGCAGCGTTTGTGGCTGCCGATAAAGTAGCGTTTTACCATTGTGCGTTCTTCAGCTTGCACAACACTTTGTTTGATAACAAAGGTAGACATTACTACCACGAATGTTACATTCAAGGCTCTATCGACTTCATCTTCGGTCGTGCAACTTCCATTTTCAACGTATAACACATTCTCTAAAACCTAGACCACTAATACCATACCACATTTTAACATATTATTATCAATTTGTTACAGAACTGTGAGATCTTTGTGGTATCGGACAAGAGGGTGAAACCTTACGGGTCAATCACAGCACACCACAGAGAAAACGAAGAGGAAAAAACGGGTTATGTGTTCATAAGAGGCAAAGTGTACGGTGTCGATGAGGTTTACTTGGGCCGAGCCAAAGGACCTTATTCTCGAGTCATCTTTGCCAAGACTTACTTGTCCAAGACCGTTGTTCCTAACGGTTGGACTAATTGGAGCTACGACGGGTCTACCAAGTTAGTCTTTAATTACTATTTTTTTTCACGTCCTTGGCAAAGTAATTATTGTTCATGTTTATATTAATACTTATTGAGAATTTTGATCAGGGATTTATACCATGCGGAGTATAAGTGTCATGGACCAGGTGCTGATAGACAACGTAGATCAGACTGGGCTAAAGAACTTACCAAACAAGAAGTTGAGTCTTTCTTGTCCATCGATTTTATTGATGGGACTTCTTGGCTCCCTGTTTGGCTTCAGCAAAAGTCTTAGTTCTAGCGTTTGGCTTTTGGATTTGGCGTTTTGGTGTAGCTAGGAAAATAAAACATATGAAGAAAGAAGAATGCCATATTTTCTACAAGAAGTTACTATACGAAAGAGTCCTTTTTAGTGACTGGAAACTCTTATATGTCGTTTGCTCATGTTGTATATAAAGAGATTTTCCATTTTGTAATATATATGATACCTAAGTTATAAATAATTTCTTCCGGTTTAAATACTTTCCCGGATGATTAATTGGATTAACAAGCAAAGGAAAACTATTGTGATTTGTGAATACGGTTTATCTTTTTTTTTTTAAGTATGGTTATTCGTACATATAAATAATGAATCACAAAGAAAATATAATGTACTTGCGACTTGGCACATAAGTAACTAGCCCTAGCTTAGTTCAAGCTAAGAAGAGATTTTGTATGAATATTTAAAAACCACCGCCAAATCCACCACCTGCACCACCACCACCGCCAAATCCTCCTCCAGCTCCCCCACCTGCACCACCACCAAATCCTCCGCCTGATCCTCCACCAAACCCTCCTCCCAAACCTCCACCGTGACCCCCGCCTGCACCACCACCGAATCCTCCGCCAGCTCCTCCACCAGCCCCTCCACCGAATCCTCCCCCTGCACCACCACCAATTCCTCCTCCGGCACCTCCTCCAACACCGCCGCCTAATCCTCCACCGCTACCACCACCTGCACCACCTCCGAGACCTCCACCGTGTCCTCCTCCCACACCACCTCCTAGACCACCACCAGCACCTCCTCCAGCACCACCACCAATACCTCCACCGTGGCCTCCTCCCACACCACCTCCTAGACCACCACCAGCACCACCTCCAGCAGCATCACCAATACCTCCACCGTGGCCTCCTCCTAGTCCTCCACCGGCTCCTGCACCTCCTCCAGCACCACCGCCAATACCTCCACCGTGGCCTCCTCCTAGTCCTCCACCGGCACCGCCTCCTGCACCACCTCCTGCACCTCCACCGGCACCACCACCTATACCTCCACCATGGCCTCCTCCTAGTCCTCCACCAGCACCTCCTCCCACACCACCTCCTCCCACACCACCTCCAATACCTCCACCGTGACCTCCTCCTAGTCCTCCACCGTGACCTCCTCCTAGTCCTCCACCGGCACCGCCTCCTAGACCACCACCGGCACCTCCACCAGCACCACCGCCAATTCCTCCTCCAAGTCCTCCACCACCACCTGCACCACCTCCAGCACCACCACCAATACCTCCACCGTGGCCTCCACCAAGGCCACCTCCCAAACCGCCACCGCCACCACCACCAAAACCCCCACCGGCACCACCACCGCCACCAATTCCTCCTCCAAAACCTTTACCGCCACCAAAACCAAAACCAAGTCCACCGCCTCCCAACGTCTCCTTCTCGAATCTCCTACACTCCACAACCCCAATTACCACGACTACAAGCATCAAACCCAAAAACCCAAAAGATACTTTCCCCATATCTTTGATATATTTGGTTCTAGTATCTTTGTTTTTTTTTTTTTTTTAAAAATTAGTATCTTTGTTTAATGATCAGTTTACAATTGTTATAGCTCAGTTGAACTCGTTACCAACACTATATATAGTAGAGAGAGCATTTATGAGATATGGTTGAGAAAGACCCTTCAGCATCTTTCTTGCACCGCGTTTCTCCGCATGTTACCATGTCCCAATCGCTCATGTTCACTTTCTTCAACGAATCAGTTAATGAGTGACACCCAAGTGTGTTTTTTATATAAATCTCCTATTCGTATGACCATAACATGTCTTCCTATAATTTAATAACATGTTCTCTTAAGTTACTATATTTCAATATTGCATACATCATTACAGCTTACATATAGCTAACGTGAGAGACAATTGAAAACATATTACAACTAGTTCGAAATACAACTATGCAGAGAGACAGTGGGGGAGATCATGTGTAATTAATTTTCAAGAACATCATACGTCTCTTTTACATTATAGAGCTTCTCAACTACTTTCGATTTGGTAGCCACATTCAATGCAGAATCCCCACTATCATTTTCATTATTAATCACTCTACTAACCAATACTACTAACTAATATCCTTAATTGGAATATTCACGTAAGCATCCGTTGAATGACAGATATGTGTATGGAAACAAATGTGATATATTTAGCTTTTGAGATTTAATGGTTATTTACATTATCAACATACTAAAATATCGGATTTGATGTCCTTTTCCGATTGGAATTTATTTTTCAACAAAGCGAGAAAATCTTCATTGTGGATGAAACTATCCTGCCGACTTATGTCGTGTGACTACTATAGCATCATCAACATAATGTGCAACCTACTTATTACTATGGAGTATGGAACATGTCTCGTCATAGAGTCTGCGAGTTCGAGAATGATGAGGAAACATGTATTAAACCAGTCTTACATCGCCCGTAATGTACCCGTGTGGCTTCATCACCTACTTGCTTTGGAGGCTCAGCTATAAGGTTTTGGGTGATGTTTCTTTTTTCGTTATCTGTTGATGTCTAATGATATTTCCTATCTTCTCTGTTTTTCCCTTTTGTACTATTTTGAACCTTCTTTGTACCATTGCACCAGTGTTATAAAAAAAAAAAACCTCACCGTTCATGGGCTTTATAGAATCTTATTACAAGACCTAAACTTTCAAGGCTCATCAACCTGGGGACATCACTCTTTTTTGCCCATCCTCCTCATCACTCAATCTCCTATACCCACTAAAATCATCTATATCCCTACTTATTACTATGGAGTATGGAAAATGTCTCGGACAGCTGTGGATCACCAAAATCAAGACATAAACATAACAGAGAGTCACAAATATACATGAACATTGAAAGAAATGTAGGGTTATTCTCCTAAATTACACGAGCATCATTCTCAAGCGGATTGGGCTTTTTCAGCTAAAGATTATTAGTTAAGCCCATTAAGCCTTATTAAGATTAATCAGACCAAACTGATTAGGAGGAAAAAGTTTTCTATTCCAATTTTTAATTTTAAAAAAAGAAAAAACTAAATTTCCCCCCGGGAAAACAAAAGTCACTGATGAAACCCCCGGCGGCGATTTCAGTAACCGGCAAAATCTAGGGTTTTGAAATCAACAACTCATACCTCTCTCTGAATGGGGCATTCAAACGGAGATTCTCTCATTTCGGAAGAAGAACAAGACCCTTTTCTATCCTTCATCGACTACGCCAGAGCGGTGATTTCACCAGAACAAGACGAAATCGATGAGGAGAATCCAAGCGAAGCCACGACCGAGTTAACCGGTCCGGGTTGGGGATGGATCGCCTCGCGTGTATTGAAAACATGTACCGCTTACTCGAGCGGTGTCACTGCCGCCATTCTCTTATCCGATCTCTCTCAGGTGGAAAAGATTCGATTTTGATGAGGCAGTAACGTTGGTTTGGTGTTTAATTATTTACTCTGACAACAGAAAAGTTTGTTTCTTTAAATTCCCTCTTTTAGGCATGGCATGAGAAGAAGGTAGTAATAGGTGGAAAGGTTCAATTTTTATGAGGCAGTGTGTGATTGTGTTACCAATTATTTGCTCTGAAATGTATGAATTTACTGGGAGAACAGTAAAGTTCGTATCTTAAAAAAAAGAAAAATTATTTTTGATTGGTAGGCATGGCATGAGCAGAACAAGCCAGGAGTGTTGAAGAAGAAGCCTGAAGTCATTGATCAGTTGAATAAGAGACATAGAAGAAGGAGACTTGCTAATACTGTTACTATAGATTCGATTTATGAGAAGAATTTTCTGTCTATGGATAGTGTTTTGGAAGCTGTTGTTATCAAGGCTGATCTTCTTCCTGGTATCTTGTACAACTTCTGATAAGCATTTTTCGTTTCTGGTGTGCTTGCTACTTTGGTTTATTGATTTGGAGATGTTTTTTTTGTTTCAGGTACAAATATATTTATGCTTACATTAGGGGATTTTTGGAGCTCCAATACTATTGATCTCTATCTACATCGCAGGTATGCTTTTTCAATATGAGATTAATCATAATATTGTATTGAGATGAATTTGAGTGCTTGTTTATGCCTGTATAGAGATTCTTATAAGTTTGTAATGCTTTATTGCTATGTCTGTAATGTATGTTTATTCAGTAGAGATAAATCATAATATTTTATTGAGATGAGTTTTGAGTGCTTGTTTATATGATGTCTTTATAGAGATTCTTATAAGCTTATGATACTTTATTGCGTAGATATTATGAGTTGGTGGAAACTCCAAATGGGATACTTAGGAAAGGCAGAGAGGTTTTAATCACTGGATGCTACCTTCGTACAGCTAGAGAAGGATGTGGCACTCCACGGTTACTTCCAACAGAATATCTTGTCATTTTGCTTGACGAGGTTATTGTTTTTATAGCAGTTTTAGAAATGTAGTCTTGGATTTTCCTGTAATTAGTTCGATTTTTATGACCTGGCTCTCGAATATTGCAGGACGAAGAAGAAGATGCAATCTTTATAGTAGCTCAACTTTGTTCCGATACTTTTTCATCTGTTTCTCTTGATGATTTCAACAATGGAACTTCATACTCTTTGTATGCTAGGTAAGAGACTTATAAATGCGTCTGATGTCACTCAATACTTGTCTTGGTAGACTTAGTTCACACACCTAGTTACAAACACTACTACAGTGATTAAACTATTAGTTCAAGACCTTTTGGAAGTAATGCCTAGTAATATCATTCCAAGTCTTCCAGTTTCACAGTAAATTTGTAGAAAGATGTGCAAAGTACCCCATCAGAAATAGATGTATGAGGTATATGTTTTGAGAGATTAAGTGGTTACCCTAACTTAACTTCTATTGGTTTTCTCCTCTTGGTTCGAGAGCAGGATTGAATCTATAGGTCCTCTGGAATCTGAACTCAAGTTTAGTACTGCGCACAGAAGGCAAATTACACTTGTAGATGCTGACAACGTTAGATTAAACTTTATCTTGTGGGGAGACCAAGTCATCGTGGCAAACCTCATGAGGTAAGCTCCTTGCTTGATGCTTCTATATCAACTTTTTAACTAACCCGTTTCTTTTAAAAAAAAAAAAAAAATCATTTTCAGTGTGGGAAGTATGCTTGGGCTTGAGAGGCCTTATATTTCTAGTCTAGAAGAAAGTGCAATGGAAGGAAAGGATGAGTTCTGCCTTGAATATGGTAGCGCAACACATCTCTACATAGTGCCATCAACCTTACAAGAGGAAACGGTATACTGATTTGCCTTTTTTACTTGGGCCAATTTTTCATTGGTTTCTGATATCACTAATGTGGTTTGTTCTTCAGGTTTGTGTATCATTGTCCCAGAATCAGTGTCAAGGATCTAAACTACTTGGTTCAGTAGGAGTTTCGCAGGTGACATTGCCTCGTGACGCCGAGGGGTCTATAGACTTCAGTAATTATCCTTTTCGGGTGAGTGCAAGTTAAGATCCCATTTGATCAAACATTAAATACTGATCAAGCTGCATCTATAGTGCTTGTATTTTACTTGTGTTAGAAATCCACTGCCTCCTAAGCCTAGTAACTTAGTAAAGAAACCAATGGTTGAAGAGACTATAGATTATTCAGATTGGTCCGACAATTATTTGAGAATCTATTGCTTTGCTGCATCTGTTAATATACCTCTCCTTGGTTGAAGTTCTGCAGACGAATATAACAGACTGTCGCGATAAAACCACTGGGATCAGTCTCTATGGTGTTGTAACAGATATATACTGTGAATCAAATGCCACTGGAGTGGTGTTTTCTTTGAAAATTGAGGACACAACCGGAGCAATATGGGCTAGGCTCCACTTTAACAGTCACTGGTATCAAAATCGTTTCATTCATTCTAAAACGTCATCTAAAATATCAATTTGGATGAGTTCTTTTTTTCTTTGGGTAATGATTCTCAGGTCGTTGGGAAGGTTAGGACTTGGTCATGTCGTTTACGTTTCTGGCTTATCCTGCAAAAGCACCAAAGAGAATTTGTAAGCATCTCTCTCTTGCTTTATTGCTTCATTACTTTTAGCTTAGAGATTAATGAAATTCTTGTTTCGGTTAAACAGCCTTGAGGTGTTATGGCATGAGAAGAACGAGAAAGCTACATTCATCAACCTTAGCTGCTTACCTGCATTTCTAACCTCCTCTTGTCTTCACAAAATCTCAACCCTCTCCCAAATCTCAAAACAGAGAAAACCTGCAATCAACGTTCGTCTCAGTTTTCTATATAAGTTTTTTCCTTTCTGAATCATATCTCTCACTGCATATTTTCTTTTGGCAGATATGTCGAGTTAAGATGGATGAGATTGACCAATGCCATAGCATAAAAACGAGACTATCACACAGCGTCTGCGGCCATTTCATAGACGAGGATTCACCACTACATGGAGGGAATCTACATTGCAACTTCTGCCGTTTAACTTTGAACAGTAACGCAGGATCAGAGGTAGTGAGAACGTTCCACATAATGATAACACTTGCAGACGAGGAAACCACCAAACTATACGCATGGTGTACTGGTCAGTCAGCATCTGCTATACTTCAGATCTCTCCTGACGAATTCTGTGACCTCCATGAGGTAATAAACAAAACACAATCTCTTTTTGTGTGTTTGTTGGTGATAAAAGTTGTTTTATTGATGGCAGTAAAATTTGATTTTTTCAGGATGATCAGCTAATGTATCCATCTTCATTGGAGAATGAGTGGTTCCTAGTGACGTTAGCTAACAGCGGTGGTCGGAGTTTGTCTCATGAGAGGGAGGCGACTTGCTGGGAGATCACCCGAGCTCTCAAGATTTAAGCTACTACCATTATTGTAAGATCTCATAGGGGTCTATTTTAAAAAATCTTGTTATATTTTATTTTTTGTTAAAAACTGATTTGTTCTTTTATTAAAACTTCTAAAAATTTATACTAACGACTTTACATGTGACTATTCTATTCAATGTGAGAATTTGCACCATATTAAAATTTTATTATAGTTTTTTAAAATTTATTAATGTAGTAACTAATGAAACTTCTAAACCTATATAAAAACATTAGTAAAATTTAGTAAATTACTAGATTAAAATAATTTTCACTTTTTTTTGTTCAACAAAATAATTTTCATTTTTTTTGTTCAACAAAATAATTTTCACTTATATCTTTGTTTTTCTTGCATGGTTAAGAGATTATAAATAAGTTGACTAAAAGAAAAGAAAAAGAAAGAAGTTGTTTGACTTAGACCAAAAAAAAAGAAGTTGTTTGACTTTAAGAGAACGTGCATTTGATGTCTGTTCACTTTTTGATTGCCTTCGGACAGAACCGTGGGCCCCATACTCCACCTTATCTTGTCCGTTGCCGTTACTATTTCACTTTCCACTGTTTTGAGCTGTTTTAATTCAAAGGCTGTGATTATCTTGGAATCCTTCCAACGGCCAAGATGTATACAGATCATAAGAGCGTTATGATTCGTTGATTGCGTCTCTCCTAGTCCTTTTCGAGAGAGTAGAGAGAAAGAAGAGAAACAAGCTTTCCTTGAAAAAGATATCTGAGAGAGATAGAGAGAGGATATGGCGGAAAGTAATGGTCGGAGGATCGGAGTAGCGGTGGATTTCTCGGAGTGCAGCAAGAAGGCTCTGAACTGGGCGATAGAAAACGTGGTTCGTGAAGGGGATTATCTAATACTCATCACCGTGGCTCCAGATATGCATTACGAGGATGGAGAGATGCAGCTCTGGGAGACCGTTGGTTCTCGTACGATTTTTCTCAAAACTCCTTTCTTTATATTAGAACACCTTCTCGTAGGATCGATCTCGGTTTTGTCAATTCTACTTGGTTTAGCCTTTTATCTGATCTAAGCAAAAAAAGACTCTGTTATGTTCGAGTTATGGTATGAGTTTAAAGTGTTTTCCGACAATGATCTTGCTGTTTGTTTGACTCTTGTGTTTTTTTTGTGTTGTAACGTTTCTTTCAGCTCTGATTCCGCTGAGTGAGTTCTCGGAAGCTGCAGTGATGAAGAAGTATGGAGTGAAGCCTGATGCTGGAACCCTTGACATTGCCAACACTGCTGCTAGGCAGAAATCTGTAAGCTTCTTCTTTTCTTTTGTGGATTTAATGAATATGTAGAAAACAAAACTTGTTACATTACATATGGAATGAAACCTTTTTTTACAACATATTTTTGGTGTCTGTTGAGTGAAGAAGATCTAATTGTTTGTTGTGAAATTTATGAGTAGATTACGATGGTGATGAAGATATATTGGGGAGATCCTCGTGAGAAGATATGTGAAGCTGCTGAACATATCCCTCTCTCAAGCCTTGTCATCGGTAACCGTGGCCTTGGTGGCCTTAAGAGGTATAAACATTTCTCCAAACTTGTCAACATCTTCTCCTCTTACACATATTGATAAGTATGTAACTTCCCTTTTATTGCAGGATGATAATGGGAAGTGTAAGCAACCATGTTGTGAACAACGTGGCATGCCCTGTTACCGTCGTGAAGGCTCACCACTGAGCTCTCTGTTGATTATTGCTCCGGAGAAGCTGTTAACCGGTGTATAACCTAAGATTTGTGTATCGTTGTGTCGTAATATGTATTTATAACTCTTGTATGACTTGTATGCTGTTTATCTTGTGCATTTTAATCTTTTCATTGGGTTCAAATACTTCTACCTTCTAATAAAAAATACTCGTTTTGAGTTTTGGACCAACTGATTTGCTCTTTTCATTCATGTCTCTTGCTACAAAAGGAAATGATAAGGCCTAAACTAGTTTTATCACAGAGGCAAAAGACAGATATAACATGCATGCATGATCAACGCTTCTTACAATGATAAACTTGTTAATCTTGACCTTGAAATATTTTATATGAGAAAAAGTTACGAATAATCGGAATTCAAATTCTAGTAAGAGCTTGCTGTAAATATAAAAAAAAGTATACAATATTCAAATCCAAAATACAAATATTGTTGCTAACTTGGTCACAACCTATAATCGAATTTTACCAAATACGTTGCAAGACAATGTCACACACATAATTATTTACCCTATTTTATATGCACTTTAACCATATTCATATACCAAACGACCAACAAACGCCATTAGCAGCATCGACTTTTCACACATTTCATTCATCGATCAGCTTTGACATCTTTTTTTTTTACCGTCTGGTTTTGGTTTTGCATCGACGATGTTCAAGACTCGTCCATAAAGCCAGTACCATAACCACTCGACCTTATGAACTTCTTTAGGAGAAGAACCATGATTGCCATTGTGAGCCCAACCGCCGCCAAGGTGAACAGTCTGTCATCCACTGGCTTCTGAGCCGCTCTTCTGACCATCGTCTGCTCACCACTTCCAGAAGCTCTTGCCGCAACCTCAACCGTTGCTGCTGTGGGACTCACATTAGCTGTTGTGTTGACTGCTTCTTCGATTATTTGATCATCAGCTATGGTGTCTGCTGTAGCGGTGGATGGCGCTTCCACTACTGTTATGGCTTCCTGTGGCTCAGTTTGGGAGTGAACTACTGATTCAGTGGAAGGTATTTGGTTACATTCCAGAGGAAGAGGTTTTGACACCACGGTCGCTTTGCTAAGGATGTAGTGATGAATCTGCACTTATTAAGAGGACACGATTAATAGAGTTGAAGATGAATAACTGATAAGCCATATCATTCAATGGAAACAGATCAAATCAAGTACATAAAGTCTCAAGGGTTTAATAATAATTGTAACTGTGCCAGTGAATATTTTGTATACAGAAAATAATAGCTATGGTTTCAGAGTTTTAAATATTTTGTGATTAATTTTGATACTTGTTAGAGTAAACATTAACTCTGAAGCGCTAGAGATATGTGACCTTAATTGTACTATCTTAAGGCCAGTTTTTTACCAGCAGCTATTCCTATGGCTTATTAAAGACAGAACTGATACCCCATACTCGATTGGTTAATCACACATAAAAAGTAGAAACACACATTCAAATGCATATATTTTAAACAGAAAGTTATGCTTTGTGGTAAAAGAAATTAAAAGCATGTCAAGAGAGGTTTATACCTCATCTATAACTTTCTGACGTTCAGGAGAACCATACTTGGGCGGTGCCTCACGTGATTTAATGGCTAGTGTACGCCTCTCTTCTTTCGGATACTCTACAGATCCCAGTGCTCCGTTGGGGCTTGTAGGCATGAAGGCAATAAGAGCCACTAAAGCAGTGCGAACTACAAAAAAAACAAATTCCAATAATCAAAAACACAAAGAGCTAACTTATATACTTGAACCAAATGCGGATTAGCGCCAATTTAAGAAACAACGAAACAGTTAAGATTCCGTGAGATTACCACTCCATGAAGGTTGCCAGTGCTCAGGATGGTAATTCGAAATGCTCAAGCAAATCTTGGTATTGGTTTCAAAACGACCATTAGGCTGCACCAAAAAAAAAAAAAAAAAAAAAAAAA